TGGGGGATAACTATATGACAGGTAGATATACAAGTTCTCCACCAGAAAGAGAGAAAGTTGTTTCTTTCCTTCTCACAAGACGGATAATCCATGTTTGGAGAAAAACCCTAAGGCCACACACCTACTTGCTGATATTAATTAATGAAGTCCCAAGTTGAACAAAAGAAAATTTTACATATCAGAGATTTAGTCTTATATTTTTCTAGGCATGCATAGAAAAAACAGTAACAATTTATTGCCTGCTTACTAAGTAACTTTTTTTTAACAAAAGATTTAAATTTCCCATGACTGGGTGAGGTTTTTTTTATTCAAATATATTTTGTCATTAAGAAATTTAATTCAATTGTTGGATTTAGGAAATTTAATTCAGTTGATACAAAAAAAAAATGACAATATTTCAGTTGTTTTGCTAAAATAACAAAAAGAAGCTTTGCTGTCACCTGCTTGATAAGCAGGCAATAAATTGGTGCTGCTTTCTTAAATGTGATTGGTAAATGGTATTCATGCCAACATATGCTCCCTTTTGCCTGTCCCAATTAGAACAATTGCCTTGATGATATGTGGGAGAAGTTGCTTCAAGAGGCAAAACTGCAACTTTAGAAGGTTGAGATTTTGAAATGCATGATGGTCACTGCAATTTTTAGTTTAAGTCTTTCATGAGGAATACTATGCAGCTCAAGAACTCGGTGAATTCTGAACAGTCACTAAAGTGCCTGGGGTTTGGACAATTAAAACTTGCTTGGAATAAATTTCAACAGATGACATTATTTACATTATTCCTCAAGGACACATGGCACCCTGGATAAAGGCATTAGTTAGATCCAGGGACAGGACCCAAAGAGTGTGAGTTCAGTACCCAGCTAAGGCAGTGGAGAACTTTCAGAGGGAAATTAACAGGAGATAACTGATAGCTGACATCCATTAAACATGGCACATCGAACTAGAACAGTCTACTCCAGTGAGCGAAATAAAGGGTTCAGTTTGACATTCCAACCACCTGAAGAAGGCTGGTGCATACAACGGCCAAAACGTTGTAATAAATATGGCAACAAAGATGAGGACAATAGTCCGAATAATGTAAATAATACCTCATCTCAGAAATATAGACAGATGCAATAGATGAGTTTTTTGATTACATCATTCTTTGGAGCAGGAATGCTTGGCTCACAGAGCTACTGGTAGCTTTGACATTCTTGAGCCGTTTTTTTTTTTTTTTTTTTCATTTAAAACAGCTGGAAAATGAAAGATTAGTCCTGAATATTTTAGACTTTTTATTTGAAAAATATTTTCTGTGCTGTATTGTTTCATAAACAAAAAAGTTGTATTATGTCTTATAAGCAAAAAAAGTTTTTCATTTGGTTGAGAAAAAAGCTATTAGTTTGAGTCGTAATTAATTTCCATTTCTGGGGACTAATTGTAATTGAGAAATGCATTATCTAAACTACTAATCATATGTGACAGTTAAGAATTTATTTGGAGTATACTAACATACCTTAGTTTTTGTACAACAATGGCAGCATACATAGTGGATTAAAGAAAAATTATTGTTTTCCTCCATAACAATGTAATATTGCATACAGAAAGATTAAAACAGGAAAAGGTTTTGGAACTTGATTGGTCTGTTCTCCCCAATCTGCCATATTTACCTGACCTTACACCAACCAATTATCATCTTTTTGATTGCTGAAAAATGCTTTGATGGTGAAAAATTGTCTCTAATAAAAACCAGATTCAAAAGTGTTCTATGCTACCAATAAAAATCTATGGTACAAAAAGAACAATGAATCTAATCCACAAGAGGCAAGATTCATAATGCAAAGTGGACAGAACACTATGATAATAATAGGAAATTAACAAATGCAGACTAAGTTAGATTGCAACACGATAGTGATGAAGAAATATTTAGTGAGCCTGAAAGTAATTAAGGCGCATGACACTTTCACTTTCATTACCTTCAAGGGTAGTTTATATGAATAGAAGGGGTAGATAACAGTTGACTCTAGACTTGAACAGGTTAAGATTGTAGTGATCGGGGAGAAAAAAATTTCTCAAGGGAGTCTGTTCCATAGGGCAGTGGTTTGTGGGAAGAAGCTGTTTGACTGGAACTTATTTCTTACTGATGAAATATGGAGGGAATGTGGGTTGTTTACACTATGTACATGGCATGGCAGGTCCTAGTTGTGACCTGATGGAACCAGGAAATGCAGTTCATCCAAGCACTTTCCATGTTAGTAGTGATAAAACAGTGGGAGACTCTCCACATCCTGTCTTTGAGAGAGATGTTGCAGCAGTGTGGCAAATAATTCTTTTTGCACAAGGACTCTGAGACACTTTTGAATTCTATCAAGACTGGAAAGTGCAGTATGAGCAGCTCCTGCCCAAATATGGCAACAGTAGTCCATTTTCAGCCTGATCTGGTTCTTAGCATGAGGAGTCAGGTACTCACTGAAATGATACAGGGAGCTGATCATTTTACCTGCATCTCTAGTGATTTATCATATATATGAATTACACTTAAGTTCAAGTGTGAGTTTTGAGGCCCAATATTTTCTTGAGGCACAAGGCCTCTTTGTGTGGACATCCATTCATCATGACTGGTGGTAGTTCAAGGGTTTGATCGGCAGTATTGCATCATTTGGCTAAAAATATTATATTATATTCTTAAATGACTTTTGACCTTAAATAACCTCCCAGGTCAGCCTCACATACCTGTGATATTACTTTAATGCTTTTCAGTTATGTAAGTAAAAAAAAAAAAAAAAAACATTGTACACACAGTTGAAAACTTGCAGTGGTCTGAAAGTATTTACACACACACACACACACACGCCTAATAAAGTATTTGTATACATCATCTTTAATTCCTGCTTGTTTTTTTAGTGATATAATGGATAGATGCTTGGAATGAGAAATGAGAGAGGTGGGTTCAAATTCCAGCTGAGTTCATTACATTCACTTACACACATATAACTTAGGAAAGATACAAATCCATCTTTTCTCCCTCTAGCTACAGGTTAAATAGCAGGGCAGAACAGTATTTCTAGCCTTGTTTAACAATCAGTCTAGAAGAAGGCCAACTCTGAATTCAAAGCTAATAAAGACTGCGTTGTACTAGACAATTTTTTTCTCTCCAGAATCTATCTTGCATGTCAAAAAGTTTGCCATTGCTTAGAATATTTTTGCCTCATATGGTCTGGTGCTCTTGCTATATATTTAGAGACTCTTGATAAAATCAAAAGAATCAGCAATATTATTGGTGTGACACGATAACTAGGCGTATATTAAGGTGGATTTGTAAAATATATATTTTATTTTAATAAATTAAGAATAGAAAATGGTTAAGAATAGAAAAATAGTTTAAAAACATGTGTTTCATTTAACAAAAGTACTAAGGGAAAAAGAAAAGGAAAAAATAAATAAATAAACGCTTTTTCTTTTATAAGTAAATTTGTGGAAGAGAAAAGGGCATCAGATTACTGTTAAATCCTACCAGTCTTCCAATAAAATATTTGACTAAGTGATTTGATGTGATAAAAGATAAACGTTTAGGAAATAGATTTTAGATGACCAGGTCAAAAACTGTCTTTACTGTATCTTGACAACGCATTAAGGAAATAAAGAAAAGATAATAGAAAAAAAAAACAAATGAAAAAAAAATGCCTGGCTACTGAGAAAGTGCCAGGGCTGTAAAAACATCCGACAGCCTTCACACAAAGATTTGTTAAGATAAAAAGATAAAAAAAAATCCTGGAAAATACATTGTTGGAGGCCAAGTGCAGGCGAGATGTCTGCAGAATGTTTACACATCAAAGGAAGCAAAATTTAAGTACCTTGAAATTTTGAACTTATGTTCGCCAATGCTTATCTTTTGTTTTCACCCGGTGGTCTAGTGGACTTCCGATTATTTCAATATAAATACAAGTGATTTTTCTGAGCCGAGCAGTTCAGCCGGGCATGTGCTTGAAGTAGCTACATGTGTCAGGCACACTGAAGAAGTGAAACTCCGTTCGTCTGAGTTGGTTGGTTTGGCATTTGATCTCCATTAGTTAGTTAGAGCTGAGTGTCACATCGCTTACTCCAATGACAAGACTAAGTCTGAACGAAATAAAGCGTCGATTAAAATCATCTAAGTTGTGGAAGTTCATTCCTTCAATAGTTTATCTTGTGCCCCCAGCTTGAGACTTTGACTTTTTCAACCAACCCCCGGCAACATCACAGTGTGGAGAACGGCCACCGGAGAAATTGCATGGACCTCAACCAGGGGTGTTACATTTGTCCTGATTTGTCATCTCAGCTTCAGTCACTTTCCTACCACTGTAAAGTTGCTTCCCTGTGCCTTTTCTATAAATACTTTCATGGTAATTATTTAGATGAGCTCTGTACCTAGAGTTTATGAATTTAAGCATAGCACTAGACTGGCAACAAGGTTTCATCAATTTATAGTTGAATTGGCTGCTAGATGTAACTGTAAGTTCTATGCTAACAGTTTCTTTTCTTGCACTTCTTGCTTGTGGAAGTCAGTTCTGGCTTTATGTTTTCTAGTTAAATTTGATCTTCAAAAATTTAGATTCTCACTCCTTAGTAATGTTTCTGTTTTCTAATTCTTTCACACCCAGTAACCCCATATGCTTTAGTGGCTTTAATACCTTACTTGGGGTAAATTTAATTAAAAAAAAATCCCTAAGATCTCTCGTCGGTTTCAAACAAAATGCTTAACCAAAAGAGCAACTCATTGAATGTGCAAAAATCTTGTAATGAATTATACAGAAGATTTTTTTTAGTTTTGTACAGTTTAATGTCAAATGGAGCTAAAATTATGGCTGGAAGATTGTATTGTTCTAATCTTAGAAGTGGAGAGGGCATACCTGCATTGAAAATCCATGTCTAAAACTATGGCTTTTACCTCTGCTCAGACATCAATTAACAATACTGACCATACCAAACTGACCAATAACCTCTTCTAATTATTCTAATGAATTTTTGTTTTTTTAGGTGTACCAATGCTTTTTCCACTACCAACCGCTTATGAAGATATGACTTATTTACCTTCTGGATCTGAACGGCCAAATGCCCGGTCATTGAGTAATGATCTTTTTACTGGTCAAACAGGTCTTCCATCAAATAACAACTGGACTTCCCTATTTGCTCATTTTGGTTTGTATTCAGTGTTTCTCTTGTCTCCTTCTCCTCTCTCTCTTTCTCTCTCATATCTTTCTGCTCTCTCTGTTGGCAACCTCTCCACTGGTCTCCCTCTCCTCTCTCTCTCTGGTCTCCCTCCCTCCTCTCTCTCTCTCTGGTCTCCCTCCCTCTTCTCTCTCTCTCTGGTCTCCCTCTTCTCTCTCTCTAGTATCCCCCTCTCTAGCTCTAGTATCCCCCTCTCTAGCTCTAGTATCCCCCTCTCTATCTCTCTAGTCTCGCTCTCTTCTCTCTATCTCATCTCCCTCTCCTCTTTAACTTATACCTCTCTCACATGTTCCTTTCTCCTTCTCTCATTATCCTCCTCATCTCTATCTCTCTTCTCTCTCACTCACTTTCTCAAATAGCCATCTACATTATTGATATTCAGACTAATATCCTCAACTTTGTTGTTGCTATCACAATGTTTCGGCCATTGTGGTCTTTGACTTTCTTCAAGTGTCTGTTAATCCAGACAATCTTCAGGAAATTTCAAATTAAATCCTTTATTTAATCTACATAGTAGATTGTTCTAATTTCACCGTCCATGTGTAAAAAAAACGTCTTTTTTTCACTTTTTTTTTTTAAGTTCAAATGGCTGAAACATTTTTCATAAGAAAGATGAGGACATTAGTCTGAATAATATTTTTCAATAAATTTATATAAAACTAGAAAAGACATAATTTAAAAATGATAGAGCTAAACAAAGTATTTGATACACAAAACAAAATCAAAGTGAGCATACTGCTTTATGGAATGGTCTTTGTTTGAAACAACAGCTTTTAGTTGCTTCCTATAAATATCCATTCACTTTGGTACACACACACACACACATTATATATATATATATATATATATATACCGTCATCCACAGACAGACTGTTTCGCTGTTTCACAGCTCATCAGTGTGGCTAGACATCCGGTTGCCTCCAGCTAGGGTCGAAACCCGACTGAACTGGTGTCAGTCGGAGATTCTAACCATTAAGCCATCGGCGCACGGTAGGGAGGAAAGTGGATTTTTAGCGTGTTTATCTTTATAAACACGCCCAGTGACCGGGAGTGACTCAATTCGCATTAGCAAAGAGTCTCGCTATATAGCTATAATAGTCACTGTTTACCAACCCACATCTCCTCCCCAGAGAGCTCAACTGAAATTAATTTTTCAGGAGCCAATATATATATGCTAATATTTTGGTACACTATTCAGAGTAGATCTTTCTCAGTCCCTTGAAATTATTAGGCTGGCAAGCCAGAATACAAATTTTTGATTGGATTTATGTCAGGGGACTGCTCACTGGACCACTTCAATAGGTTGATGGCTTTCATTCAATTAAAAACTGTGACACTAATTATTTTATTCATTTTTTTTATCCTAATTTTTTTTTTCATTCCAAGTTTTGATCATTGAAATAATGTTTATCAGACTATGGTTTTAGGATTGTATAAATTCATGTAACTTAAACATATTTAACCTAACCTCATCATTATATTGAGTGTATGATGGCAAAACAAAGAAGAAACAATGAAGGTTTAAAGAAATAAACAATTGTATTAACATAAAATACAACAAATGATAAATCAGTGTAAATGTCTCTTGTCGAAAAAAGGAGATAAATGAAGTTGTAAAAGGCGTCCACAGAGGTGTATAGAAGGAGAGGGAGAATGAGTTGTGCCTTACTGGGGTGACAACATTTGGCGAGCTGTCTCTTGGAAATGAGAGGTTGCTTTCTGACAAACTCTGTGAACTTGGGCCAAAATGCCGTTCAATTGCTGAAAATGACTCTTTGATGGGCTTTTGTATTCTTTTTTAGGTTCAAATCGGCTCCGGTTTTTATTTTGTTTCTTTAGATGAGAGCAGGTGCTATTGGGTGGAAATTCTGGAATGTATTGCTTATTTTTTTCTTTGAGTGTGTGAGTAAAAACAGAAGGTATGTGCAGAGCCTATGTGCAGTTGACTGATTTCTAGTTCAGTTTTGGCTGTTCGAAGTGTTTACATCTGGCCAATGATGGAAATGAGTGTAGTATGAATCAGAAGATCTGGATTTAGGAATAATGTAACACTAACCTAGCATAACACATTTAATCTATTATAAAGGTTTCATAATGAATGAAATAATAAAAAAATATCTGTCAAACAAGTAATCTCATGGTCATAACAATAAACCCAAGCATAACTCCCCCCCATCCAAGCAACTGTAATGTGCCATTTTCCTCTATCTTTTAATCCTACATTGGCCTATATATACAGTGATTCCTTATTCTTAAGGAATTAAATATCTCGTCACCTGTATAGTCTGAAGATTGTGAGTTAGCTGTATAACTACACATGAAGCTTTAAGCCAAGGAAAGGCAGTAATATTTATGTATTGTTTTTCTTATATTTATTATATAGTCTCTGTATATTTTTTTAATATTTTAAATCAAACACTCTTCCTGTAATCCATGTTAGTTTTTATTATGCAATGGACAATGACTTGGAATATATTGTTATCAAAAATATAAAAATTTTGAGAAATTTATTCAAGATGTTTTGCTTGTCAGCACCCAGACAAGAATATTGTTTTATTAGACAAATAGATTTGCTAAATATTAATTATATATATAAATTAATAAACAATAAAATCCAAAATTGCTTCATATGGGGAATACCCTATTTCAGCAGATATTAGTCGTCTGTCTTATCAACCCCAGTGTGTACCTTGCTCATGTCAGAAATAGAAATTTTATGGTTTATTAAATATTTGCTCTGTAATAATAAATACATTGAGCTTTTTGTGGATCAGTTTTAATATTTTATATTACTAGGATCCACTTAGATTATATACCAACTGATTTTTTACCTTTACTATATATATATATATATATATATATATATATATATATATACGAAAGTTAAGATTCAGGTTTGTTTTAGTAAAGCTTCTTCCTTTTAAGAGAGATACTTTCCATTCTCCTTGACCCATTCTCATGCCTTTCATCTGACTGAAACATCAAAAAGTGTAAACTCTGTTTTAGACGTCTTCAACAAGTTAGATTTGGATTTATTTAAATTCTACTTCCTGCCTCAAATAAATTTATAGACAAGAACTTATTCCATTCTGGGGTTGACAAGACGGACAATTTATAATATCATCGGCTGCTAAAATATGCTATTCCCCATATGAGGTAATTTTGAATTTATTTCTTTAATAAGATATATATATATATATATATATATATATATATAAAACAATAAAAAATATTAAAATCGGCAGACACACTGGGTTGTATATTAATATTATTTCATTTTTATTATTATTTCACTTAGATACCTTGACTAGTTTCAGCCAACATGGCCATCATCAGGAGAAAAATTTTTTCTGCTTGCTGGTAGCAGTGAACTACAGAAATAAAATGCTGAAAAAAAAAATATATATATTAACATAATATTATATTCTGCTAATAATTCAATACTCTTGTCTGGACACTGACAAATGAAACATGAAAAGAGAAATTATGTGAGATGGTGAAAATATTTCATATTTGATCTTTGCATAATTTAAAACATTATTTTTATATTTAGGAAAGTTTGTCAGTATGGAGATTTCACACACACTGGATTCTGCTTGCCCAACAGAAATCCTCCAAGTGCCAATTTTTGGAGGTGATCCAGATTTTGATGACAATGCCACCATAGAAGATCACATTCCATATGAAAGAATTGCTTACGATATACACTCAGGACTCTCACCAAATAATCCTCGAAGACAGGTAAGATTTATTAAAGCTTTACAAGAAACACTGAAGTTATCTTACATATTTATAAATTTAACATTCCTACATGCATTGACTATTGCTGCTACAACTGGTCTGGTGTTCTTGCTATATATTTAGAGATTCTTAATAAAATTATTATCTCCAAAAAATTTCTTAACCATCTAAAAATATTTTCTGGCTTTAAATAACATGCAAAGGTTGATAAGCCATAAAAAATCAATTCATTATGCCATTGTTACTGGTACCATATAACAGAGTATTGCTGTATGGTTGGGTCATTGCCAACTAAACCAGTTCCTCCATTAGACTTTTATGATCAGGTGGGTGGCTAAGACACCCTGCAGAATTAACTGTATTACAAGCAGGTTATTTTAGGGTTGTGAAAGACAAGTAGTTGCTTTAAAATGCTGTAGAGCTCCAAATAAAGGTTTTTATTTTATGTCTGTTCTTCTAAACTTACAAGTGGACTAGTGTCCTCATTTTTGTTGTTGTTATCTCAATGTTTCATCTATTGTGCCTGCTAGCCTTCATCAGTTGCTAATCTGTATGGATGATGGAAATTGAAGAGGTATTGTTTGGTGACAATTGGCTTGTGTTGTATGAATGAACCCATTGTGGTTTACAAACTGAAGGAAAAATCAAATAAAAACTTACCACAAAGTCTTCACATGGACATTGTCTGTAAAGAAATCCAAATAAAAAAATAGATGGCTGCATATACAAAAATAGGATGCAAAAATAGATGGGGAATATTTAAAAAATATTTTGCTGGTAACATGCAAATTTCTGACCGTTGAAAAGAATATAAAAATTGCCTTGACAATGTCGGAAGGGAGGAATTGTTTTAGGTCCTACAATTGTCTCAGTCAAGCTTGGGTTTTCTGTAGTGGATGAATGGTAAGAGCACAAGAGATTTATTGTTACCAAAAGAAAAGATCAAATAAACAACTAGAAAGAAAGTGAAATTGATTCTCTCACAAGTGAAGACAAATTATACCCATCATGACATGTTCAAGACAATAGCCTAGTGGATCGAAGCATTGCTTAATAAATTTGGTGACATTTTTATTGCAAGTTAAATCTCTGGGTTGGGCAGTGTGTACTTGGAAAAATAAGATCTAGATGAGATATCTGTAGAGTGGAGTGATAACAGTCTATCTCATAGATTAAATAAGGGGTTCAGTTCGGAATTCTCTGTTTCTTACCCAGATTGCTGTATACCTTGTTATAGACAAGCGTATGGTTGCAAGAAAGAAATACGACAACAGCAGAAATAGATTTACATGGTTTATTTCAACAGGAACATGTGGGTTTGGGACAGCTACCTTGTGGTAAAGTTCATAAGCCGGTTTCAGATCTAGATCGATCTCTCATAGTAGTTCACACATGTTGACGGTGGTTGGTGCTCTCCTGCTGACAGCTGCTGAACGCTCGGCCTGACCGTGACAGGTCTCCTTTGTGGCCACCTGCTGACTGACCGTTGAACTTCCGTGTGACCCCTTTTATAGTGTTTTTTTATGGCTTAACAGGCTCAAAAAACGAAGCAAGTATAATTAGGAGGGAAGCATTTTTATTGAACGCAAAATAGAGCACTTTAAATATTATTTTATTTTTCGACCGGAACACGTGTGTCGGGAACATTTGTAAAGAAAGATAATGGTCATTTTGTGACGGGGCTTTGTCCCGTTTACATCCGGTTCTCGCTCTTGAGTATTTGCCTGTAAATCAGCCGAGATATGTCTTATTTTATTTTATAACAACCTGATGAAGGCCAGAGGGCACAATGGCCGAAAAGTTGTAATTGTTATTACAAGATGAGAACAATAGTCCACATAAAAATAATAATGTAGATAATAACTCTTCAAACCAGAAATACAAATAAAAATCACCTAGCAATAACAAAGTCAGTTAAATGATAGTGAGATAACAACAAAGATGAGGATAATAGTCTGCATTTAAATAGTGTAAATAATGGCTTATATTGTTTGGAACTTATGCCTAGAAAATATGAAAAATTGCTAATTTTTCCTTCAAACTTTGCTTTCATGATCAAGATAATGATATTTCTGAAATTTCTTGTTCTCTTTGGAAAAACAGCAAAGTAGAAACAAAACGACATATAATTCAAAAATAGCATTTATAGACACAGCAAAATGCATCTGCCGGATGCTTGCAATCTCTTAATGCCATCTGTGATGAATGCATCTAATTACAATGACAACTTATCTGCACTTGGACAGCTAGAAGTAAACTGAACTATTGAGTTTACATTCCCTGTATTTATACTGCCATCTACATTGCCAGAACATTCTAGAAATTCTTGAAACTTTTAGAAACTACTAGAAAGTTCTCCTTCGGCACTGATTTGCTGATTCTGTCGGGAATGTAATGGAAAATAGGTTAGTTTTAAAACATCAATGTCCAGGTCACAAAAGTAAAGTTTGAAAGGAATAATAGTCATTTGCTTTACTTTCTAGACAAAAGTAGTTAGAAAATAACACTTACCGATCAAAGCCAAAAAAAAAAGTTAAAATTTTGTTACACAGTGTTATGTGTTAGTAAAAAGCTCTTTCTCTTGCCTGGGATAGGGTTAAAAACAAGACCTCTTAAAGAGCAAATGAACCTTCTTATTGGGTCAACAGCCATTTAACACAATCGGGTAGACTGGGCTCCATAGCTATGTATACAGCCAGTGTGGTCATGACACTGCATTGATAATTGGAGGGCTTATTGGACGGATGTAAACAGTCAGGGATAAGGGTTCTGTCATATGCCCTACTCGACGAATAATTTATAACGCAATCATACGCCGACCAGGAGATATATACATTATCACATCTATGGAGAGATATGGGCTATGGACAATTAGTAAACAAAATATTTTAAAGAACACTGTTTGATTGAGATAATCAAACAGTAGTCTTTTCCCAGGTTTGCTTCAGTTTCAACACATATACCGATCCACAATTCAAGGATGAACGATGAGGCATAATAAATTTTGGTATAAGAATTTTAATATATACATACACACAAGATATTACAATAAAAGAAAAATATAAGCATGAGTAAAGCATCCGACAACCAGAACCTCAAGACTTATGTTGGGATACCAAAATATGCCCAAATCCAAGTGGATTTGACTGAACCCAAACAGATAAAAAAAATAAGTATGAATAACTACAAATGCAGAAATCAACGCATAACCAAAAAAAAAGAGATGGGATAGGATTTATATATTACTATTTTGACATGTGGAAAGGTGTTCGTGAGAACATAAAATTTATGGATGCATGTGTCTTTCTAACACGGGTCCAAAATATATAGTGACTTATCTTTATATTCAGTTCTCTCTCTTACTCATTGTCCTTTCTTTTCTCTCTCACGTTTCCTCTTTTCTTTCTTTCTTTTCTTTACACAAATTCAATTTCAAACATGGCCCGGCTGCAACAGAGATATATACTTTCTTCTTCTCTCTTGATTTCTCTTTTCTTTATTCAAACACAGGCTGTATTCTCAACTTGCAAATTTCCTTGCGTCTTCTGTGATAAATAACTCGATTTATCTTCTTTAATCTGGAGTTGACGAACAGAAATATACATCCTTATATTTCTTATCCAGAGTTGCTTATGATGAATCGGACAAGTTCCATCATTACCAAAATGAGTCTCATCTTTTCGTTCATAAGTTATCAGCGCTTTGATTTCGAGTCTTGCTCCTTCAAAGACGAGACAGCAACTGACTTCCAAGTAATTTTCTAATTCTCACGTGTCCTGCATTTTGGTGCGAATTCCAGTTCCTGCTGCTTCACGACCTTACGTCAGTCCCCTGTCTAGATTCTGTTGCTACAGGTAACTGGGTCAGTCAACCTCTTGACCTGCTTCCCCAAAATGACTCAAGACTCCCACGTGACCTCTTCTGTTGTCAAGCGGAGATTAACCTTAATATATGCGTGCATGCGTGTTTGGGCTATCTGCATTCGTAACAGGTTCCACCAACTGAATTAACTACCATGTGTCCATGACCAAAGGGAATCCCCAAGATGAAAGCTCTTTATATTAAAGAATGCCTCCCTTATTAAAAGAGAAAATAACTTAGAACATTATTGAGAGTGCCACTATTGAGTTTTTGCCAAAATGTTAACTTGCACCTTGGATTTTTTTCAAATATCTCCTTTCCTTAGAGAAATACTCTTTCCCCAAGACAACATATATGACCATAAATGTTTTTTTTTAAATTAAAAGAAAATGATTAAATCAAAACCTTCCATTATTTAAAATACATAAATAATTTATCAAATTAAAATAAAATAATGATTACATTAATATAAAAAAAAAAGTAAATAAATAAATAAATCAGTTGACATTTTCATCGCGATAAAATTTTTCTCATCAAAAAAATCCAAATCATTCCAGAGTCTGGATATTTCAACTTGATCAACACTCACTTTGCACAGATCAGACAGTTTTCTTTGCAGAAATGAATTAGCCTCTCCACATCACATATGACTTGTATCAAAGGTCCTCTTTCACAATTCTTCTAATAGAGTGCCTTGAAACATTGAGTTTTTAGAAATGACATTAATTGTCTTTCTAGAGTTTTTATCAATAATTTTCTGCACCTTTCATACAAATTTGGATAAAGAAAGTTTTAATTCACTATAAAATATTCTACAATAAAGTATTATTATCAAAAATGTAATATTAATCACCTTTTTGACAATCTGGTTTGGTGGTATTTAACTTTTTTAAGAATGATACAAAATCTTATCTAAAATCTTTTTATATTTTCACATCTGCATATGTTCATATTTTTATATTTAATTTACAAAAAGATTTAACAAAAAGCAAAAACCACATCTCTTTTACATCCTTCAAAAGCAGCAACGTCAAAAATCAGTAACACATGTATCGAGAAAAGAATAATGGTATAATCAAGCTATTGACTTTAAACTAAATTTCAAACAAAAGATTTGTAAGGAATTTTAAGAGCAATAACTGAAATTCAGAAATTTAATTTACTGAAAAGACTTTAAAAAAGGAATTTTTTAATCTTTTTAGATTTTTATAAATTTCAACCAACAGTAATAATGCTTGGCCAAAGGACACGGAATGTGTATGCATGGAAACAATTAATTTTACATAACCATAGGAATGTGCAGTAAGTGTCTTTGGCATAGGAGCGTGCTGTAAGTGTCTTTGGCATAGGAGCGTGCTGTAAGTGTCTTTGGCATAGGAGCGTGCTGTAAGTGTCTTTGGCATAGGAGCGTGCTGTAAGTGTCTTTGGCATAGGAGCGTGCAGTAAGTGTCTTTTTTACCATGGGAAAGTGCTATAAGTGCTTGTAGTACAGGAAATATTAGAGATATAACATTTAGGAATTTAAAGTTTAATTTCTTGAAAAACTGTCCTAAGAGAAATATTTTATAAATTTCAGCCAACAGTAACACTCTTTGGTCAATGAATGCCAAATGTTAGCTGTATGGAAAAGGCCAATCTCACTCTTCTCATTTTAAGGATATAATTAATCTCAGAAACTTTGGTAACTGATAACTTCTGTTCCATTTTTTTCAATTGTTTTCCTCAGAGCTTCAATAAATATGCCAGTGTTTTTTTAAAGATATAAATTTCTTGAAATAACTGTAAAAATGAAACCAAAGAAAATGCTTCTATTTCAGGTGAATCTTGCTACTAGTTTAATTGATGCAAGTGTTGTGTATGGTAACAGTGAAGTGTGGGCCAATGCACTACGTGACTGGCATACAGGGAAACTCAAAAGCAGCGACCAGATCTCCCAGTTCCCAGCCATGAATGAATACCGCTTACCAATTGGAAGTTTTCCATTCTCCAACAGTGATATATATCCAGATCCCACCAAATATTGGCGTTAGTATTATTTTTAATCAATTCCTTTTTATTATTAAAACAAAATAAACCTATCAAATATTACATACCAATTTGATTCCAGTATCTTCTGTACCATGTTCCTTCAGGATGTATCCAGTCATAGGTCTCCACAACTTCCTATCTGTTGCAGTCCTTGTTCTACTATCCCTTTACACAAGCTTGTTAGATAGGTTACATGCTGTTTCTATCTAGTCTTGGGCATGACAATAAACTACATCTGGCAGCAAATCCTCTGAGCAGGAGATTGGAGGCTTTGAGGAGCATGGAACCACTTCTTAATTGCTATTGTTCACAGGTCCACCCTGACACTGGGTGGTAGCACCAGTTAGGGTCCCAGCTATGGGCAAATTAGTGACCCACATCAAACAAAAACAAAACATTATGAATGTGCAAAAATAAATTTTTATAGTAAAAATACCAGCAAAATTTTTTTTCATATTAAAAAATACCAAAAATACCTCCTTATGGTAAAATTACCAGCAATACATATAGCAAAATGACCAACAGTACATTTTATCTGTAGTTGAAGGCATACAATTGCATTCAAATTATTTAGATTTCAGCATTAAATAACCCATAGAGGTTGATATGCTGCTAAACAAAATCAATCAAAGCAAAATATAACTTCAACAAAATTACAGCATAAAACACACATATCACCACCTCTAGTAATTATCGCCACACAAACATGTATATGCACAAAAGCTGAGTATCCTCTACCATGTATTCAGTTGTAAAAGCAGAATAACACAGATCATATTTTTACTACTTCAAGGCTCCCAAGAAAATTAAATTTTGGCATCAAATGATTCATAAGGAGTTGATATGCTGTTAAACAAATCAAATCTGTTTCTTTCTGTCTGTATTCACTTCAGTATGTCCTTTGAGTCTCAAAATCTCCAAGGCCTTGGTCTTCATTATGTGTCCCAGAAATATCAGCTGTCTGATTCTATGTTGCCATTTTCTTTAAAACTTGTCACTCACATGTTCTGTATTCTCGGAATCCTTCTGTAGAACCACATCACTTTTGTCTCCAGTCTCTTCTTTATCTGTAAGGAAATTTACCAGCATTCAATGCTAAATAGATGGAATTACATAAGTTTATTTTCTTTTTCTTTATTTCTAATGAAATCTTCCTGTTTCTTAATACTTTGTTTGGCTTTTGGAAGGCATCTTTTGCCATCATTGGATTTCTATGTCTCATTTTCTGTCATCTGTTAAAACATTTTCCAGATATTTAAATTTTCTGTAGGGACATTTGAATTATGAACTCATATTTTTTTCTAATATTCGCTCAGCAACCACTTAGATTTTAGTGGCATTAATTGCCTTGCTTGGGGTAAAATAATTAAAAAAACAAAAAAGATAAAAAGTTTCTTCAGACAAATAAATAAAAAATGATAATTTTCTCTGAGAAACTAATTAAAAAAAAATCAATGTTTTCAAAAATGTTTTTTGTATTATTCTTCTACATGCATTGTCATTTCAGGACATGGGCAATGATGGCCCTCCACCTATCCCTTATAGCATTTAGCCTCCCCTCTCCTTTTTCTGCTCTCCATTTACATAAGCTCATCAGGGAGGTGGTCCACTGACTTCCCCCTTACCCTTGACATGGCCTGTGAGTATCAACTTTTCCAAGCCTTCCTTCCTCATTATATGTTCAAGAAACTTCAGCTACCTCATTCAGATTTTGAGTATATTATTCCTTTAAATTTCTTGAGGATATCATTGCGGTTTCTGTAACGAGCCAGTTTTTAAGTGAGTAGGTTGTTAGCCTACAGCACAACTCCCAACCTGGAGGAACAGGTTTTGAATTCAGAGTAGTCCTTCTCCTAGAGCATTTGCCACCCAAGGCTATAGAACTTGGCCTGTCCTGCTATTTACCCATAACTCGAGGGAGAAGAGGATTCATACCTTTCCCAAGGGTATCAGCATGTAAGTGAATGTAAATGGATTCAACTGGAATTTGAACTCGGCTCTCCAATTCCTCAATCCAAGCTGGTATCCATTACTCCACCATGCCTCCTTAGATTTTGAGTATAAGTGTCCTTTTTGTTTCCAAAAGAATGCTAATCTACAAGAAAACTATTGGTATATTGGACTGCAAATAGATATTGAATAACGATGACAGCAAACAAAATGAAGACTTGAAAGAAAATACAGTTATAGTGCACTAGGCAAAAAAATATCTCTGCATTTTCACTTATTGGACGAGAAGAGTGTTGACCTGAGAAGGACAGTTTTTGTAGTCATTGAAAAGTGTTGCCCTGAAAAGTATACATTATTGCATATCATTGCTGCTGGCAAGGATGGATGGAGTATTGGGAGCTGGAGGCCTAGTGGAGATGGTTGGAGAGGTGGCCAACGGTGAGCTGGAGATAATGATGGCTGGCTGTCAGCTGCTGGAACAGATACTACACTTTGATCATCTGGGCTGCAGAAAAGTCCTTTTTTTTTTTCTTTTTTAATCCTGAATCAGTCTTACAATTCCAAGTTTATTTTCATTAAAGAAAATGCATCAACAAAAATAATGTTGCAATGCACTGGGCAAAAAAATATCTTTGCATTTTCACATAGAGAGTGATAAGAGCATTGACCTGAGAAGGACAGTTTTTGTAGTCATTGAAAAGTGTTGCCTTGAAAAGGATACATTATTGTATATCATTGTTGCTGACAAGGACCGCTGGAGCCATTGGTCAGCTGCCAGAATAAATATGGTATTTACTCTGTCTCCCCACTAAGATGAGTTGTGACACAAGGTCTTTTTTAAGGTGGGGTCCCGAGTGCGTGCACTCGAGCTGGGAACAAAAATTGCCCACAGCCCCTGTAACCGTCAGTTGCATTTGCCTCAGTATAAACACCAATCCCTCTCTCTGGTGCAATGAGAGGGCACAGCCTCAGATAGCTTTTCCCCGGAGCTGGGCATCTCTCAGCATAATTTTTATCAGTTGCAACTCTGTCCTTAGACGGAGTCGCCCCTAAGTTCACTCTGCCCAAGTACAGAGGCGCAACTGAGAGATGATAAATAGGGCGTTACAAACTCCCCAAGAGGAATTTACATGCTTTTTATTTATAGCTTAGATGTGGCACAAGGCCAAAAATATTGGGCACCCAGTGAAGATTGAACTCCCTACTCAGTTGTAATTGTTCTAGCGAGACAAGCTTGCTAACCATTACACTGCCTCAGGGTGCCCAGCTGCCAGAACAAATACTCTGGACCACAGAATTGTACTTTTTCATTGCTTTGAGGTCTTTTCATTTCCTGAATCAGTTTTACAACAATCACTGGTTAAACTTTTTCTTCCAGTTATTTTTAAAAAAATGTAGGCTTGCCAACAAGATGTAACAGAAGCACTCCATTAAGTAGATTTTTTTTTTTTTTTTTTTTTTTTAATTTGGGTAAGCTTATACTGCAAAATGTTTTATGAATAATTCTTTTACATATGTATGAATTGTTTCTTAAAATGACTAATTTCAGAATTTGGAGATCCGAATTCACATGAAAATCCTGCTCTCCTTACATTAAGCGTTTTGTTTTTCCGATGGCATAATTTTTTGGTAAAACAAACTGCAGATGCGAGTTTAAGCAAAGAAGATTTATTTTATAAAGCTCGATCCAAAGTCATTGCAACTCTACAGGTGAGTCCCAAATGAATTCTTTCAAAACCCAATCTTTAAGTTATCAAATAATTATGGTTGTATTTCTTGTGGTGTAATATACACTGGCAAGAAAGTGCATTCCTATAATTTAGCAATGTATATTTATGAAAAAATAAAATTGTTATTATAACACTTTGGAATAATTTTTAACAACCCCTGAACCAAGTAAATACTTATAGAATCGCATATAAATGAGCAGTATTTATCTATTCCTGACTGTTGTAACCTAGGGAAGGTTACTGAATAGAATAATCAAACAAAGGTTGGTAATGAACAATAATACTTAGGACAAGAACAACACATATAAGATTTGCCAGCGGCATTTAGAAGTAGTAGTAAACTGCTGAATCTCCAACTGCAGACTAACATATAGTATTTACTGCTGTGTTTATATGAATGGAGACATAGCCATTATCGTCCATAGGTATGCTATAACACTGACCCAAGTAAATGTTTATAAAATTGCATATAAATGACCAATATTTATCTGTCCCTGTACCAAGTAAATGCTTATAGAATCACCTATAAACAACCAATTTATCCCCAAATAAAATAGCAATAGATTTTTTTATATTTAGACATTATTTTAAATTTTAATCCTAAATCATAAGCATAGTGTATTAAAACGTGGATTCATTAATTTGGTGACATAATAATTTTGAGCTTGGTCTCTGGGCAGGACAGTGTGTGCCTCAGTTCAATGGAAAGAGGGCAAGCAATAACTGAGCAGTACTAAGAATAAAAACTAGACAACATATCCATAGACATGGGCAGGGGAATGAGAACAGTCTACTCCTGTTGATTAAATAAAGGGTTCATTTCAGAATTCTCTATAGGTTACCCAGATTGATATACACCTGATGAAGGCTGGAGGGCACAACAGCTGAAACGTTGTGATAACAACAACAAAGATGAGGACAATATGTAAATGGTGTAAATAATGATGACTCCTCTTTATCCCAGCAATTCAAATGGAAATAATTCAGTTGTAATCATATTCCATTTGTGGCATTGCCAAGAAGCTAATGCACTAAATAGTATTGTTCAGGTGTTTATGATCTACCTGGACTCTACCCAATTATCTAGGTGTAAGAAGCATGGTATTTTTTTTTTTATTGGGATGCTTTGTTAGAATATGGTATCAATGGTAACTATGTTATAAGGCAATGTGTTGTGCGTGTGTGAATAAATGAGTGATGTAACACATTTGAGAATATTCAAATACCTGAATTTGCTATGGTGTCTGGAATCCGCATGATTTAACAGAAAAAAAAAATTGTTTCTATCTATGATTCTCTGCCCAAATACAACAAAAAAAACACATGTTTTAAAAATATTAATAACAAGCAATGAAAAATGGATTGTTTACAATGTGAAGCAAAAAGTTCTAGGCAAGTAAAAACAAAATGAAATAGCTTTACTAGGTTGTCTGACTGATATCACATGATATCCCAGCCATACTACGATATCATGGGTAGGACATATTAAAGATCTCTAATTTTTCAATTGAAATTCTGGTCAGAAAATAAAGATATAATAACTTGACTCTTGGTGTCAAATTGCAAAATTAAACATTAGTAATCATTATACTATATCACTAAGCACATGAATTGCTTTCTGTTGTGCAACCATCAGTCACATTTTGACTATCAAGTTCAATAATAAAGATTGTTCTGACAAATTCTTGAATACTCTTTATTGTCATTTTTCTTTTTACAGAAAATAATTTTATATGATTGGCTTCCTCTGCTGCTAGATGAAAAAATTGAACCATATAAAGGTGAGAAATTTATATTTAAATCCTATTAATAATATTGTAATGCAAAAGTAATAAAATAAAAAATGTCAATGTCCTTTTTTTAACACACAAAACATGGCACAGCATGTTTTTGTTTGTGTCAAAGAATGTAGGCCAGTAAACAACTACTCTTTCATTTAGACCCGTGATTTATTGCATAAGCATACAGTTCTGGCACAAGGCCCCAAAAAAGGGTTAATAGGTTGAGTCTGGTCAACACTATCTTATACCTAGCTAATCTGATTCATAATACATTCATTCATTACAAATTACACAACCACCACAAAAACTTGTCCATCATCATTCACTCCTACATATACCACAATACTGCATATGCACAGGGAACCTATCAGGTCATCCCATAAGTTCAGTCCAAATTTTGAATAAAGAAAACAAGTGACTAAATGTTACATTTAATTACAAATTCAATCAACAATGTATTTTCCCTGATTATCTATGACTTCCTTCCATCTATTAACAAGCCTACTAATTCCATTACTGTAAAATTCTTTTGGCTTTGATTCGAAGAACTCACAAATGTCAGTTTTAACCTCTTCCTGTGTTACAAAAAAGCGACGAAACAAATGGTAGTCTGAAGGAGCAAGATTGGGAGAATAAGGTGGATGAGGAATTTTCTCCCAACCAAGTTCTTCGATCTTTTGTGACGTGATTCTTGCTGTGTGGGATTGCGCATTGTCCTGATGAAACATCACCTCTTTTCAATTCATTAGAGCAGGTCTTTTTTTCCTCAAAGCTTGGGTCAAACGCTCTAATTGATGACAGTATATTTGAGCATTAATTGTTGTATTAGGTGGTAAGAATTCAAAGTGAATTATTCCTTGGTAATCGCACCAGATTGAAAGAAGAACCTTTTGCCCATGAAGTTCCCTTCTCAGCTGTGGCTGGGGTCCTTCCCCTTTACCAAGCCACTGTCTACAATGCTTAACATTTCGATAAAAGATCCATTTTTTATCGCCAGTCACAAGTCTATCCAAAAGTTGGCGAGAATGGAGAAAAGAGCAGATGTCAACTTGGGATTTGAGGTTGTTTTCAGACAATTCACGAGGCACCCATTTTCCATGTTTAGGAACTTTTCCAAGATGACAATGAACAGTTGTATGGTTTGAACTGAAACCACTGCCAATTCCTCAACTGATAAAGCACGATTTTCTTCAAGGGCTGCTTCAAGAAGCTTTTCATCAAACTCAACTGGACATCCGGTTCGATCATCTTCAAGGGTGAAATCTCCACCTTTGAGAGAGACATAAAAAAGAAAATCAAGGCTACCCCTGTTCATGTGAACCTGGGTTACCGCAGTCACCCACCTTCCACTAAAATCTGTCGATAGCAAACGCTTTCTATAAGATCTGATCTTCATCCTGAGCTGATGCTCAAAGAATCTGACAAGATCCTGATGAGAATAGCATTTACATCACAAGATTTCCTCCTTCAGTGTCATCCAAATCACCATTCAAGCCATGGCTAGCAGCGACAGAAACACTATCTGTTTCACCCCAGAATATGGGGATGACACATTGTCATGCACGATCAATGAACACAAGTTTTTTGGGAGGGATACGAGTTGTCAACTCGCCAACAAAATCCGATAGGGGGCACACCTGAGGACAATGGTAGAAGGCACATGCATCTGTTTCTGCTAAACCAAGATTACACTGTTCACAGTCTGACAAATCTGCCAAGCCCCATATGAAGGCTTTGTCATTGAGAGATAGTCTATTCTGAACCAGTCACCAGGTAAGGGAAAACTCAGGGTTGCTGAGGTAATCAACCACTGGTGCCCAAGACCAAAACCAGCAAAACTCATCCTCTGACAAGCCAAACTGGGCGTGTGATGGATCCTTCATGACCCCCTCCACTAGTTCATGGTAGATGACTCTTTCTAGGTCACTGGACCTAGGAATGACCCCCAGGGCCGATCGACAGTCAAGGAGGAAACTCTATTGATACCAGAGACAGGAGGCATGATAGTAAAATAAGGGAAAGCAGCCCTTACACTCCCTGCCAAAATCAAGCCCCCATCAATGTACAGCATAGGAAAGCCAGCCTTGAGGCAAGTTTGTGACTCTCCAAGTGCGACATCCCTAGCTCCCCATAATACAGAAATTAGGCACAGACTTCTCTGTTGATATAATGCTTGCATCTTGCCCATAAGAGCAAGCGTTCAATCACTTCTTACATTCCTTACAGGGAGGAAGTATAGACAAACAGTAAAGGACAAGAGAAAAGACATAAGCGACACACACCTCATCCCTGCCCTTCAAGGACAACCTCCTTCACTGCCAAGTCTTGACCGCTGTGCTGACCTTCATCTCTACTTCTGACCAATTTTTCTCCAGCTGGAAGCCAGGTTCAAACCAGACTCTGAGAAGGTAGACAGGACTGTCCGTCCAACCAATGAGCCCCGGAAGATTGACCTCCTTCCAGGCACCTAACCACAAACTGGAAGACTTGTTGTTGTTAATCTTGACCTCCATAATCTTTTCATATCGTTCAAGTGCCTTTAGTACCACCTCAATGTCAATGTAGGATGACACAAAAGTAGATATATTTTTGGCGTACATGGAAACACTGGTTCAATTCCCACCAGGAACAGTGTTTATCAGTTTTAGTGTTGAAGAAGGACATTTTTTTGTATTCGAGAGATTGAATGGGATGTAATGGAAATGCTATTGCCCATGATTCCTTTTCTTTAGCCCCTTTCCTTGCTTGGATGGGGGCTTCCTGTACCTCAACTCAAAGACAGATATGGAATGTGATAGGTCCTGGCATCTCAACTACAATCACTTTCTCACAGACATGATGCAGCTTCCCTCTGTCTATTCTACAAATGTTTTCATGGCAACTTCTCTGACAAAGCTACTTTCACTGACACCCCCCAACTGCATGAATTTATGGTTGGCATCTTGGTCTCACCTTTCACTGCTGAAACAGTTAAATGCAACCACCTCTTCTACTCCAACAACTTCTTCTATCGCACTTGCCAACAATGGAACTCCCTTCCTCTTATAGCTTCTCTCTGATAAAATCTTTAAATATTCAAATGTAATGTCAATCGACATATTCTGATGCCTTGATCTTGATCCCCTCCTTCTCCATGAAGCATTCACAACTGTGGACAACCAAGACAGCGCAAAAAGCATGAACCACCTATTCAGGCACTGGGTGAGCAATACAGGAGGCTAATCCACCAGTAGAAGTCGGTTTTGAATCCAGCAGAATACAGTATAGCAACCAGGTTGCAATGGTCAACCCTATCAAATGCCTTGGACTGATCCAAATTGATCAGCATAGGCTGTTCCTCATCTTTTACTCCCTCTAGAGTCATGTGGATCAGGTGCAGGTTGCTCTGAATTATTTGGGCCTTCACAGTACAAGTCCGCTCAGGTCCCAACAGAATCTCAGCAACTGACTGAAAACGCTCCATCAGGATCTTGGCCCAAATCTTTAACTCTGTGTTTAGCCTGTAATCATCTAAATCCCGCTCAACACCTTTGTTTTTTACAAAAACCTGATCAAATCTGTGGAGATCTGGTCGGGGACAGACCCCTGGTGGAACCAGTTGTTAAACATGATAGTCAAAATCAGAACAAAGATGTGTGACAGCCTCAAGTACAATTCATAGAGCAAACCATCCAGGCCTGGAGACGTGCCTCTACTGACCTTCTTTAATGCAATGTAGACTTCACCCTCTGTGATCTCCCCCTCATAGATAGATGTTTCAGTCAGCAAAAGCTGAGGAAAGTCAACCAAATAGCTGCGAAACTCTTTGTCACAGAGACCAGGCTCAAAACCAGCTCTCAAAATGCCACCAAAATGACTCATACATATTGTCAGTCAACTGACCTCACAAATGTAGCAACTGGAACCTAAATGGACCTCTTCCTTGTGCAATTCTGCACCCATGTTCACAGCTTCAGAAGACATCTTGCTTAACTTATGCCTAATTGCCTGACCCTGATACACTTGCTAGCCATGTGTTCCAGGGCCTCCCTAGCTAGGATTATCTCTAAGTGAGATAAAAAAAACTTTCAAAAATAATATCTTCTAAAAACACAGTTTTCTTTTCTCAGTCTCCTGATGATTTGAAACCTTGGGCCAACACAACATGAATTTTAGCCAATTTATCAATACACAACAAATTTGTGAAAAAATTTGTACATTATTTTAAAAGATGGATCATTATAATAGACACAATTAATTTGCTGCCCAAATATACCAATTTTATATTTGGTATACTAGCCCTAAAATCTGACTAAAATGTCCAGTCTCATTTTTGGGAGTATGATTATTAATGGATTATAGGTGGAAACAAATTCATGGGTTATAGGAAGAAATAAATAACTTTTACCAAATTCTTTTAGAAACCTATAATTAATACTGGATTCTTGTAGAAACTGATTTAAGTGGATTTTTATTTTAATTGTAATAATATCAAATTTTACAGTGAGCATTAATGGATAGTTAAGTAATTTGTTATCCATGTTCAGAGCTTAAAAGATTTGCCATTTCCATGGTACATATATATTTTGTTAATCATTTCATCTCAAGTAAAGCACTGAAGCCACTAGGACACAAGAGGTTACTAAGTATGAAAGAATATGTCAAAAAGAAAAACTTTATTAAGGAAAGAACAATAAATTAACAAGAATTAACAAGATAACAATTGATATTGTATTTAAGTTATTGAAAATCAGAGATGGAAAGCCAGAGGCTGGAAGAGAGTTCAACAAGCAAGAAGCGTGAGAAAAGAAACAGTTGACTTATGATTACATCTAGACATTTCAGCTATAAAATGATGAGATCTAGCTGCCAATCTAGCACTGTGCTTAAATTCATAAAGTCTAGGTACCAAGAAGTAAAGCTCATCAAAACAATTACCATGAAATTATTTATAGAAAGGCATAGTAAATTTATATTACAGTGGTGGGAAAGTGACTGAAGCTGAGATATCAGCTCAGGACCAATAAAATTGCAGCCTATAACATTATTCCATTTTAAGAATGGCAAAATGAAGCACTGATTAAGTGTTAATAGGAAAATATGCCTAAAAAAGGCTGAATTAAATTTTCATTTTAGTAAAAATTTATATACCCTGAAACTTGCAAAATTAGTTAAATATTTACATTGTTCAGACTGTTGTCCTCATCTTCATGGCATGTGGAACTAGGACAATCTGCCCCAGTGGACGAAATAAAGGGTTCTGTTTGAAAATCCAATCACCTGAAGAAGGCCAGAGCATATAACGGCCAAAATGTCCTGAACATGACAATAAACATGAGGACAATAGTCCGAATAATGATTACTTACACCTCATTTCAGAAATACAGACAGAAAATAGGTAAACTAATAATAACTGAAAAATAAGCCTAAATTGAACCTATTTTTGATTGGACAGAAATGTTTTCTTTTTTTTCTGATTGGTTAGTAAAGATGAGTGACAAAGTGCTCTTGCTATTCATCTCAAGATCCAAAGCAGGATCTGTAAACTAATCAATCCTGACCAGGCACCCTGACTTCAGTCACTTTCTCATTGATGTAACATGGCTTCCCTCTGTCTTTTCTATAAATATTTTCATGGCAACTGTTCTGATGAGCTTTGTTCCCTGGTGCCCCAACTACATGAATATAAGCATGCTTCTAGATTGGCATCTACATCCCACCAGTTTACTGTTCAAATAGCTAATTGCAACTGCTACTTCTACTCCAACAGTTTCTTTTCTTGCACTTCTCACCTGTGGAACTCTTACCATTTACTTGCTTCCCTGATAACTACAAACTTCAAAAATGTAAATGCAATATCAATCACCATTTTCTGTCTTCTTGAATCCCATTCATCTTTTGTCCTTTCCTCAATCCTCCCTATACTCAGTCTTTTCTCTCGCTTTCATTCCCAGTAATTCCCTGTGTACTAGTAGAATTCCTGCCTTGCTTGGGGGGAAATGATTAAAAAAAAAAGATTCATTTTTTATATAAGAATTCCATGCTACATCCCAAGCAAGTCTCCCAATAGAAATCAATGATCCTGCTTTCTCTCCAGATGCCAATGTACTGATAATGTAGAGGGCTATTCTGATGACATAGCTATTCATAGTCATGATTAGAATGATCTTGAACAGAAAATTGACATCCTCTACCAAGTGTTCCAAGAAATCGGGCTTAAGATAAACAGAAAATTATGATCTGGAATTGGAATGAAAGCATGTGGAACTAGTAAATGCTATACACTTCAAATATCACAACATATGGATCAGTTGTAACAAATTAAGTATAGAAGAAATGGAAATTGACCATAGAATAGACTGTATTAGTGATAGTTTTACCCAACAACAGATTGCGGCAAAACATCAACCTGAAAAATTGTCATGTTCTTAAATAGCCTTGTCATAGCAAAACTCTCATGTGGATGCCATGCATGGCACAAAACCCTTGCATAAATATCTAAACTGTCAGCTGTATACAACTTCTTCCTAAGATCAATGGTAAAAAATATAAGGTTTTAAGTAAATAAAACCTGAGGGTTTTAACAAAGATCATTCTTTTTTTGAACATTGTGAACTGGTGCTATAGAATTATAAAGGACTATAAAGTAACAGAAACAACATCACTTGAGGGCTACCAATAGCAGTAACAGCTAAAATGTATAGTATATATAATTAAAGAGAAAATGATATAATTAAGATGTTAACATTCCACACTATTTCAAGCAAAATGTTTGGAAGGAAATTCCCATCACTACTGGAATGAGCTATAACAGCTACTGGACTTGAAAAACTTGTTTTCTTGAAATATTGTTTTAAGAGAAGAATTTATATATTTCAACCAAAACCAGTACTGACTACTCAGTCACTGAATGCCAAATGTTTCATGTATGGAAACTGTTAATATTACCATTACGATCCTACTTTTACACAGAATTTGTTTGAACTAAAGATAGTTTAATGTTGTTGGCTACATTTTTTAAAAAAACTTAACAGTATTAACACACTCAAAGATTTCAAATGTATTCTTGATGATACACAGCAAAAAACAACCTTTATATTTCCTAATAATACAGATTTGCAGAAGTCATTTGAAAATTTTACAATTTTCTTTTATAATGTTTATTTTTAATGTAATGAATTTTGAATGGATTTTTTTTTGTTTGTTGCTAGAATACAATCCAAATGTTGATCCTGGTCTCTCATCTCTATATGATGCTGTAGCAATGAATTATTATTTAACCTTGATACCCCCAATCTTGATGCCAAGGTAAAATATGATTTTATATACTTATATGATAAACACTTGTTTTTTTTTTTTTTTTTTTAACTTGATACACTGTCTAAAAAGTATCCAAAAATTTTGAACAACCTTACAACGGGTTTTACAGCTTGGTAATTTGGCAACCAATCATGGCAAATGCATAAATAAACTCTTGTGCTTTTATTCAGACAGCAGCAAGATTCTATTGTGTGAGCTTGTGTGTTGTGTTACTGTTTCATTCATCATGACAATGGGTGTGACAAGCATATAACTGAAAACCACTTTTTACCTCTGTTCAATGAATAGATGCTTTATTCATAGCAGATGGATGAGCCCATGTTTCAATAACAGGTGCAGAGAAGGTTAGTCAGTCTTTCTCTACAATAAAATTCTGCAGATGACTAACTCTCTATAGAAGGAAGTAACAACAAATAATGGTACTCCCCCTTTACCACTCTTGTTACTTCCTCTTATAGAGAGTTAGTCAGCAAGGAGAGTACTTTGAAGAGAAATGAGGTGCCATTGCTATAAGTAGGCTATCTTTCTTTTCATCTATATAATAAATGTGAATGTCAGTGTGTCACAATGTCACACTTTTTCAATTTTACTCCTACAGGCTTTAGCCCAATATATACCATTTTGGAATCAGTTCTACTCCATGAGCAAATTAAAAATATTCTGGGCCAGATCCAGATCTGGAGCCACAATCCTGAAATTTTGGATTCCCAAGTTTTTGTTACTATAATTGTTTTCAGTGAATTTGTTTTTTTACATGATTTTTTGTGACAATTTTTTTTTGTACAGTAACAAGTTTTATAACTTGGAAATAAATTTGGGAATAATTGAAACTAATTGTGAAATCCATAAAAGTTGTTCATGAAATAAAAGTAATTGTTTGTATGTAAAGTAAGGACCTACATACATCAAACTGTCTTTAAATTAAGTGGTGGCAGAAGAATTATCATTGAACTCTTAAAAGGTAAGCTTAAATATTAATGCAATACTTAAATGCAGCAATGAATTTTGAGTTCTTCTTTAGTTTATTGTTGCCTATCGCATCTCCTCCTCCCTACCTATTGTGATGAAGACCCAATCATGACTCCCAATAGGGTGGCTTTTAAGTTAGCTATTAATAAATGAGGAATGTGCAATTGGTGTAAAAGTTTTCAATACAGAAAACTGAATTGACAAACAGTACAAATTTTGGCATGGTCTGTTGCATTCACACAAATCTCCTTGGGAAAGACATGAATTCATTTCTTTTTGCTCCAACTATGGATTAAATAGCAGAGTAACTAGTCTAAGAAAGGGAAAACTCTGAATCCCAAACTATGGAGAAGTCAAAGGAAACAAAGTTTAGTTGAAGTAAAGAATCTTTTTTTAACTTCCCCCACTACCACCGGAGAAAGGAAAATAGAAATGTGTTGACTGAACAATGTTAGATTAAATACTTTTAATTAACAAAAGGAGGCAATACAAATTGTGGGTAAGTAGGCAGCATGAAAATGTTGTAAACGAGGAGAGTCGACTTGCAGTGTGAGCGGCCATGGTCAAATGTAAACTAAATGGCAGAACTCTCCAACAAACAGAACTGACAAATTTTGCTTTAAGCAAATAAAAAAGAAAATACAGAACATAAAATAAACCAGGCAAATAGTATGTGCAAAGCAAATTTGTGTCATAATTTTGCTGCACCCTGTATAATGAATATTACTATTCATTCAAAAAGTTAAAAACTGAATTCTTATCTATGTTCTCTTTGAATACAAAATAATAACTTTCATTGCTTAAAAGGTATAAAAGTACATCTATCCTTATGCACAGAGTGGAAAGTTTTCTAATAGATCTCTTCAGTCACCATGATAGTATCTGGCTGTTAAAAGTACATGGTTATCTATATATGATAAAATATAAAGACAGTTCAGGAGAAGTCATAAGAATGTAAATTAAGATTTTATTTTCTAGAATGAAAATATGCTAACAAGGTCAGGAATCTTCCATGACTTCTCTCCGACTTTGAAAAGGAAAGCTAGTGAATGTTACAAAAAAGACTGTCTTTACTCACAAGTTTAACTCATGTTGCAAAAGCTGTCTACTCCTGATTCTTTTGGCAGCATCTACCAGAAGTTCATGTTTTTATAGAAATCTGGCTCCACCGACTTGCTAATGAGGAGGGAAGCAAAAAATGATATTCAAATAGTTCCCTCATTTAAACAATTGTCATGAAAATATATAATTTTTTTTAAGCATTTCACCCCAAGCAAGGCAGGAGTGCTACTAGTACACAAGGGATTACAGAGAGTGAAAGTAAGAGTAAAGTGGAATGTTTGGGAAAAGGATAAAGAGAAGGAGGGGGATCAAGATCAAGGCATCAGAATATGTCGATTGACATTACATTTGAATATTTAAAGATTATAGCTATCAGAGAAGCAAGTAAGAGGAAGGGAGTTCCATTGTTGGCAAGTGCGATAGAAGAAGCTGTTGGAGTAGAAGAGGTGGTTGCATTTAACTGTTTCAGCAGTGAAAGGTGAGACCAAGATGCCAACCATAAATTCATGCAGTTGGGGTGTCAGTGAAAGTAGCTTGTCAGAGAAGTTGCCATGAAAACATTTGTAGAATAGACAGAGGGAAGCTGCATCATGTCTGTGAGAAAGTGATTGTAGTTGAGATGCCAGGACCTATCACATTCCATATCTGTCTTTGGAGTTGAGGTACAGGGAAGCCCCCATCCAAGCAAGGGAAAGGGGCTAAAGAAAATAAGATCATGGAACCACAATAGCATTTCCATTACATCCCATTCAATCTCTCGAATACAAAAAAAAATGTCCTTCTTCAACAAACAAGACAACACTACAAACTGATGATTCCTATAACAAACTGGTATTCTAATGCCTTCACATATTAAAAATATCCCAAGAAACATTTAGGACAATTATTTTATCATGCATTTTTAATACCATTTAATGCATAATCCTGTCACTGGTTTCAGACATCATTTCTAAAATAGACTCCCACAAGGCAAGTGGAAGTGACAAGATCCCAAACATTATCCTAAATAAATGTGCTCCCGAGCTGGCTCCAATTCTCTCCAAACTCTACAATAATTGCCTTGCTGCTTCTTGCTTTTCAGTTTAGAAGTCCTCTATAGTACCTGTCTGACCCCTCAAATTATTGCCTTATTAGTCTCTTACCACTTTTCAGCAAAATATTTGAGGCTCTAATCAATGCTGATGTGGTTAAGCATTTTACTTCTCATGACCTCCTCTCGGACAAACAATACAGCTTCCATTTTGCTGATATGTTAATAGCCAGCACTGAATATTTTTTATAAAGCTCTTGATAATAATGGTAAAGCTCAAACTGTGGCTCTGGATATCTCAAAAGCTTTTGACAGGGTTTGTTATGCTGATATTCTATGCAAGCTTCAGGTTTACAGTATTACAGAACAGTTGTCTTAATTAATCCAATTGTTCCTATCAAATCGAGAAATAAAGGTTGTTTTGAATAGGCTTGCTTCCAGATCCTTTCACATGGACACAGGTGTCCCCCAAGACTTTGGGTTCCTACACTGTTTCTGATATTCATTAATGATCTTTCTGATGTCATCAATTCCCACGTAGGTATTTATGCAGATAGCACCACCATTTACTCTTGTCTCAATAGTAAATCTGATCAAGCTGACAGAGTAAATCTGGCTGCTGCTCTTGAAAAGCACCTCCATCTGAAGTCAGCACATTGAATACTGCTGCTGCCATATCTGGTCTGGTGCTCCTGCTATTGATCTCAAGATTCTTGACAAAATCTAAAGAAGGATCTGCAATGTAATCAATCCTGACATAGCTTCTTGACTTCAGTCAATTTCTCATCAAATGAAGTGGCTTCCCTATGTCTTTTCTACAAATATTTTCATGACAACTGTTCTGATGAGCTTTTTCCCCTGGAGCTTTTACTATATGAATTTAAGGATGTGACTCAATAGGCAACTAGATCCCACTGTTTTAATGTTGAAATAACTAAATGCAACTGCAACTTCTACTTTGTTTCTTTTCTTACACTTCCTACCTTCGATTTACTTGCTTCCCTGATAACTACAATCTTCAAAAATTTAAATGCAATGTCAATCCCCATCTTCTATTTCTTTGAATCCTGTTCAGCTTTTGTCTTTTCATTAATCCTCCTTTTACTCAATCTTTCTCTCACTTTCACTCCCTGTAACTCCCTGTGTACTAGTAGCATTCCTGCCTTGCATGGGGGTGAAATGATCAAAAAAAATATATAAAAGTAAAAATTCCTATTTTGCTTATTATGCTTTGTCACATTTGTTTTTCTTCTAGGAACAAAAAATGTCAACATTTGCAGACAATACGATTATGTGGTTGTTTTTGGAACAGCCAGGTAAGTTGAAAACATTTGGAGTTCTTAAAAGGCTGTGTCATATACAGTGCTGTGCAAAAGTAAGTGAACCCCTAAGATAATATTTAAAATAATTGTTTTTTTTTTCCAGATAAAAAATCTTAATTAAACTATATATTCATTAAAAAAATCTTATTAAATGAACTATAACCACTTTTAAAGATTTGTAATAAACTGGAATAAAAATATTAATTAAAAATTAAAATGTGCTAAAGTGACTGAACCCTTACATTTAATACTTGATGACTGCTCCTTTTTGTGGTTTTTTGTGCACATGTAAAAATAAAATGACATGTTCATTTATTTGATAAACTATGTATACTGCAGTCAAACAATATAACTCATTGTGTTTTCAAAAGTGTGCAGTTAGAGACTAAATTTAAAAAAATATATATGCAAAGATCAAAAGAACTTCCTGAAGCTTCAAAAATTTGTCTAGTTGAAACCTGTAATAATGGAAAAGGCTACAAAAATATGGTCAGATGAGGCCAAACCAGAGCTTTTTGGGAGGGACAATAGACGATATAGCTGGCGAGCTCCTAATATGGCTTTTGAAGAGAAGAATTTGATACCAGCCATTAAACATGGTGGTGACAGAAATTTGATTGTGGGAGGGGGCAGGTTACTGGAGCTGGCAAAATAGTATGCATTGATGGCACAATGGACTCGGCAAGATACCAAGCGAAAGTGTCTTGTCCTCAGTTCAAAAGTTGGGTTTTGGTTGGGGCTTGCACTTTCAACAGGACTATGATCTGAAGCATCAAACCAAATCCACAAAATGTGTTCACAAAAGAAAATTTCAAGTTTTGGAATGGCCTAGTCAAAGTGCTGATCTAAAACCAATTGAAATATATATAATAGAATGCAATATATATATATATATAATATATATATATATATATATATAATGCAATATAGAATTTGGTTGACAAGTCAGCCATATTCAATGAAAGATATTTGAAAGAAAGATTGCTCCCAAAATATTCATTAATATATATATATATATATATATATATATATATATTTAATGACAAAACAGACCACTTTAAGGTACCATTACAATAATTTATTAAACCAAAATCCTTTTTAAAGTCCCTAAACTATTTACTTAAAAAATTAAATATTTAAATTGATAACATTCATCATTTTTAGACATCAAGCATTGAAATCTATCTTTTACATAATTTTGTTAAAACAAAATTACAGCCTCTTTCGATTCACTTCCCTCTCCCCCTCTCTCTTTGCTGTAACACTCATTTAGATATATCTGTATTACTGTCATCTGTCTCCTCTCTCCTTTCCATTTTTCCTTTTCTTTTCCCCCCACTACCCTCCTATTCCTATATATCATTTCCATTAAGTTAACCATCTAAATAGGTCACGGTTTGATCACTCCTCCTACCCCAATATAAAGCATGCTTAAGAGAAATATGAAATTAACCCCTCCCTATACTCTACCTTGTCTTGTTAACTACAACTATCACCCTCCCTGTTAAATTACAAAAATTACACTACCCATCAATTTCTAATCCCATTTTTCCTTTCATTTCGTTGTTGGAAGTGTTACCTGATGATCCGGAGTCCTTTAAAAAGGATTTTGGTGAAATAAATTATTGTCATGGTACCTTAAAGTGGTCTGTTTTTTCATTAAATATTAGCTCTGTATTCACATTGAGCTCTCAGGATTTCATCCTCCTTGGAATTACCCATTCGGTTTACCAAGTTCTTCGTAACTTAAATTTATATATATATATATATATATATATATATATATATATATATATATATACACACACACACACACATAGAGTCCCCTCCAAAAGTATTGAAACAGTAATGCCAATTTTGTTTTTTTGTTGTTCACTGAAGACATTTGGGTTTAAGATCAAAAGATGAATATGAGACGAGTTCAGAATTTCAGTTTTTTATTTCCTAATATTTACATTTTAGATGTGTTAAAAAACATAGGGCATACAATTTTTCAAGTGAGCAAAACTATTAGAACATGTGACTAGCAGGTGTGTATTGTTGCCCAAAGAGAGCTGTCTATGGGAGAAAAGCAAGCTATTTTGAAGCAGCTGAGAAAAGAAGGAAAATAGATCAGAGCCATTGGATAAATATTGGACATAGCCAACACAACAATATGGAATGTCCTGAAAATAAAGAAACTACTAGTGTGTAACTGAGCAACAGACATAAAACAGGTTGGCCAAGGAAAACAACAGGAGCTGTGAGGAAAAACCACAGAACAACAGTCAGTGACATCACCAACAACTTCCACAGTGCAGGATTGAATGCTTCACAATTCACCGTTCGAAGAAGACTTCAAGAACAGAAATATAGAGGCCATACAAGATCCAAATCACTTATCAGTAGTAAGAATCTGAAGGTAAGATTGGAATTTGTAAGGAAGTACAGAGATGAGTGACAAAAGTTCCGAAAGAAAGTTTTATTTACTGATGAGACCAAAATTAATATCTATCAAAGTGATGGAAAGGCCAAAGTGTAGAAAAAGAAAGAATCTGCTTATGATTCAAAGTATACAAGTTCATCTGTGAAGCATGGTGGAGACTGTGTCTTGGCTTGGGCTTGCATGACTGCTTCTGGAACAGGCTTGTTCATAATTATTGATCATGTAACTCATTTCTGTAGCAACAGAATGAATTCAGAAATCTACAGAAACATTTTGTCTGCCAATTTACAGAGATATTCATCCAAACTAATCAGAAGGAAGTTTAGCATGCAGCAGGACAATGACCAAAAACATATTGCCAACACAACAAAGGACTTCATCCTGACAGTTTTAGACGTCATGTTAATCACCACTGTAACCCAATAGAGCTTGCATTTCATCTCCTGAAGAGGACACTGAAGGAAGAAACCCTACAAAACAAGCAAGAACTGAACAACACATGAACTGCATGATGGACACATCTGTCTTCCACTGAGGTGGGACCAGGACCCCCTGCCACCAATCTCAAAAATTACTTTTAATATAGACCAGTATCCAGATATACCTATTTCCGATATGTTGCCAAGCAGTTATCTCCCTTTAACTCAACCCTCCAAGTTTTTGTTCATCTCAACTGCAGCCAAGTATTGAACTCACAACTTGAGACATCCAGAAGAGGCATGGCATGTGGAACTAGAACAGTCTATCCTGGTTAACAAAATAAAGGGTTCACTTCAAAATTCCAATCACCTGAAGAAAGCCAGAGCGTACAACGGCCAGAATGTTGTGAATATGGCAATGAAGATGAGGACAACAGTCCGAACAATGTAAATAGTGTAAAAATGATTTATGTAATACTCTTTCTGTGTCATTGTTCTCATAAAATATGAAATAATTACAACATGCACAGTTTTATTTTTTTCTTTCTATACCAATCTTTGCAGGCCTACTTAACAAATGAGTCACATAGTTTTGACAGCATTATTTTAGGAATGGTCTCTCAACTTGCTGAACAGGATGATATGGTTGTCAGCTCTGATTTCAAAGGTAAGAAACAAAAATTCTTACACATTTTCAAACCTTTTTGGAAACAACCTTTTCTGGATGGTATTTTTGCTATCGAGCTTTCTTTCTACTTACATAATTAGTGTGCACCACATTTGGTTGGTCATAACAGCCACTCAATGTAGCCCTGTTTTTACACAGGGACAGTGTTTTTGCAATCACAAAAGAGAGAAAAAAAAGATGCATTCCTGACTAGCTTTTTGCAATATATCCTGTCTGAATTGGGAGTTGAAACAGCCTTTTGAAATATCTACTAGTTTTCCATTTCAGGGTCAGAGACAAGGTATATAACATACTTTGTTAGTATGTTTGCTCTTTAGAAAATAAAAACTTAATTTGTATTCTTCCGACATTTCTCTGGCCATCTTATTTTTTATTATAGATGTTTGAATAATTATCTGTTTTATTTAGTGTACAAAAATAATTTCTATATTAGAAATTCATTCAATCTTGTTAATTTTCTATATTAAAAATCTTATGTTATTTTTTATTAGAATTTTGTATTGAAAGATTGTAGGATATTTTTTGTATTGGAAGGCTTTGGATGAGAGTTTTTCTTTCTTCTTTTTTTTGTATTGAGAGGTTTTAGGCAAGAGTGTTTTTTCTTTCTTTTTTTCTGTATATTTTGGCATTATCTACTAATATTCGTCTTCTGTTGATAGTTGTATTTTGGTTGTTCATGAGGTGATTATAACAACTTTTTGATTATCTCCCCTTTAACAGCCTGTTTCATTGGACACTATCGAACTCTACAGCTCTTTTTCACATTTAACTAAAAGTATGAATTAGCATGCCAACATTCCAAAATAATTAATTTCTTGTTTATTAATCCATTCATATGATTGAATTCTATAATTATCTACTTCTCCATCCATCCATAGATTAAATATCTTCCTCTGGTTTTCTTCATCTTTTTTATTAGGCCCCATTGTATTACTGGTGTTTTCTTTTCCTTTTTTAGTTCCCATATGTGTTTTGACAACAGGGTATTATTTTTACATTTCATATATATATATATATATATATATATATATATATATATATATATATATATATAGGTGTATATTTAGGCAGTAATCCTTCCCTTATGCATGTTTCATTAAAAACGACAGACAAGGTACTATGTTTAAACTTTTTATTTAATTTTTCTTGTGTTCTGACAAGAGCTTTCTTTTCTGGACAAAGGGTGTGTAAGAACTGTCCAAATATTTTATATTTCTGAGCACTTTCGGCTATACCTTTAGCCATTATCAAGACTAAAAATAATGGAAGCTATAATAATAAAAAAGAAAAAGACTACTCTTAACAATATTAACTACGAACAAAGCCACAATGTCCTAACCGTATTCAGAAATTAAAACATCCCTACCACACACTGATACATAGACAGAATGCACACACTCAATTAAGCTGAAAAATCGAATCATCCTTGATAATGGCTAAAGGTATAGCCGAAAGTGCTCGGAAATATAAAACATTTGGACAGTTCTTACACACCCTTTATCCAGAAAAGATAGCTCTTGTTTGAACACAAGAAAAATAAAAAGCTTAACCATAGTACCTTTTCTGTCGTTTTTAATGAAACATGCATATATATATATATATATATATATATAAAACAGACAATGAATGTCTATTATGTCTGATTATGAGCTATTCTAAAGTTTGTATATTTAGGTTAAGGAACAGCATAATAAAAAGATATCCAAATGCTGGACAATGTCTTGTTTTCACCTGAAATTAAATTCAGGTGAAAATAAAGACAAAAATTCTCTAACATTTGGATATTTTTTATTATGCTTTTCCTTGACCTAAACTTTTGGCTCACATGAGCCATCTTCAGAGTGGTCATACAGACATTTAAACAAAGATATTCACCATCAAAGATGATATTTTATTATGTTATCATAGAAGATTACTATGCGACAATAATGGTTGTGGAATAGCAGATGCACATTGTAAGTTCAAGATGCAGTTCTGTGTTGTCATGCCATGTGAGAGGCTGAAATGTTAACAACAGAACCATATGTCTAGATGTGTTGTGACTAGTTTGAAATGTAATTAAACTATGCCTGATATTGAGCACCTTTTACCAATAAATATAGCATACCTGCAGCCATTTGCTTTACAATACTTCAGACCAGTAGTCATTTGAATTTCAACACTTCAGACCTGCAGTCATTTGCTTTTCAACATCAGATCTGCTGCTTCTCAAATTTTGATTGTTCATTTTTTTTTACAGTCTCCATCTTATAAAAACTAATAACAAACATAGACATTTGTTTTTAATAATGGAAAACTAAATCTAATATCTGGGTTAATTGATAGTTCCTTGTGTGTGATTTTAATTCCATTTTAGCCTTCATTTTTCTTTTTTTACAGGTAAATATTTTGGGACTATGTCTTATTCTCGGCAAGATTGCATTGTACAAACAATAATGAAAGGCAGAGATCTTGGGCTTCCAGATTACAATTCTGCACGTGTTGCTTTGGGGATGAAGAAAATAGAAGACTGGAAAGATATCAATCCAAAAATGTTCAAAAGACATCCTCAGGTAAATTATTATGTTATTAAAACAAATTGACCTCAACCCCTGTAAAAATTCAAGCTTTACATGGTGTGGAAATGGTTCTATGCTCCATGAGGAGTTTGCCAAAATAAATGACTAAATAAAGAAAGAACTGCCTCATGAGAAGCACTCTATGAAACTTTCAATCCTTCTTCATTGTTAAAAAGAACTGAAAGACCCACTTCCTGCCTAACATCGGCATGGCTAATGCTAACCTCCATGAGAGTGACTCATTGTGCCTTTTTGGTCTAACATTTTCCGCTAACATGAAGTGAAAAGAATACATTGAATTTGTTGCTAGGTCTGCTGCTAAGAAAGTCACTACATTGTGTCGTGCTAGACAATTTTTCTCTCCAGAATCTATCTTGTATATTTACAAGTCTACCATTCATCCATGCTTTGAATATTATTGCCACATCTAGTCCAGTCTTCCTGCTGAGATTAATGATAAAATTCAAAGAATCTGCAATATTATTGGGCCTGACCTGGCATCTCAGTTTCACTTTCTCACCACCATAATGTAGCTTCCTTGTGCATTTTCTATAAATACTTTCATGGTAATTATTCGGATGAGCTCTTCATTAGGGACCTAAACTTAATGAATTTAAGCACAGTAGTAGATTGGCGGCAAGGTCTCATCAATTCATAGTTGAATTAGCTGGATGTAACTAAATTCTATGCTAACAGTTTCTTTTCTCGCACTTCTTATTTGTGGAACTCTCTTCCAGCTCCATGCTTTCCAGCCAACTTTGTTCTTCAAAAATTTAACTGCAATATCAGTCGCTATCAACTGTCTTAATTAGTCATCTATTCTTCTTACTCCTTAATGTTTCTCTTTTTTTCTTGTTCTTTTACACTTAATAACCCCTTGTGTCTTAGTGGCTTTACAGCCTTGCATGGGGTGATATAATTTTCTTTGAAATTGTAGATTGTAGATGGAAAATGTTTAAATAAGATACACTCCTTAATTCCTCCAACTCTAACCTTCCCAGGGAAGACACACAACACTGCAGATGAACCACCATCATTCCCTTCTGTAGTGAAAGAGATAATCAGTTACCCCGAAAAAAAGTTTGTGTCTTGTGTGCGATCTGCCGAAGAAAAATTACCAAAAAGTAGTTAGCAAAAATCTACATCAATGACTAATGTTCTTCCTTTCCCTGAATGGTGTGACCAATCAGAAAATTCTCTTGGTGAACAGAAGCCATTGTTTTTCGCTTATAAAAGGAGAAGATTTTTTTGAGCTTGGTAGAACGAACACATGTTTTTGCTGGTGAGAAGTGAAGGTTGGAGGTGTGACCCCATTTTGTTGTTTCTATGTTGTTTGTTGGACTGTTATGTCAGATTATCGATGGAACATTTGGCATGTTTTCTATTGCAGTTGCTACTATCAGTTGACAGTCTACCACACCTTCGTATTCATTAAGTTCCCAAGAACTGTTGCTTTGGGGGAACAGTCCCAGGAGGATGCTTTCCTGACCATTACAATTTTAACATCTTCAAGTTTAGGGTTAACTGTTTTTTTCAGATATCCGATAAATTTTGTTGACCACTCACACAAAAACTGGGGTCTAAAATTAGAAATGGTTTAACAGTCCCAGGAGGATCTTTCCTGACCATTACAAAACATCCTCGTTTAGTCTGTTGCTGGCCTGTGGGTTGAGAAAGGAAAGAAAATGATCCAAGATGGCGTCCCTGTGACTTTTTGTCGTCCGTGAATATTCACGGTCTCGTGCAGTCACGCAAAGTCGCGTTACACACATGCTAATGAGGTGTGTCTGGGCTCCATAAAAGCAGGTTGCTTGGAGAAATTGGCAGAACGGCATTACACCCGTGTTTGGTGTACATTGCTTTGCGTTGCAGCGTGTCAGACATTTTCAGACGGAAAGAGTTGCGTCCCTTACACTGTTGAAGTCGACTCATTTGCTACAAGCTATTTCGGCCATTATTACAACATGGACAGATTCGACTTGAAGTTGATACCAGAGTTCGACGGCTCCCCCGCTGGCCCGTCTGTGGTCGTGGTGGGAAAAGGCCGAGCGGGTCTGCCGGCTGTGTAAAATTAAAGATCCCACACTGGTCATCCCTCTTAGGCTCACCAAAGGAGCTTACGCTGTGTATCAGCAGCTAAGGGATGACGCAGACTTGGAGGAAATAAAACAAGCTCTATACACAGCATTCGGTGCGGACCCCTTTGTCGCCTGGAGGCAGTTTACCGAACGACGGCTTGGACCAGATTTGAGGAAGCTGGCCGCACCGTTTGGTGGAGCAAGCGACCAAATCCTAGGATGCGCCTTTCTGGCAGGACTCCCAGACAACGCAAGTCGACTGCTACGAGCATCGTCAAGGCTCAATGAGCTGGGGCTAGACGAGTTACTGGCCAGAGCCCGGAATATTCTAAAGGACGACGCGGAGCCAGTTTCAGCAGCTGTGGAAGCACCCGCACCGCCAACTGAGGACATAAGGTGCTATAAATGTGGCGGACTGAACCACTTCTCCAAAGACTGCCGAAGCGGTGCGAAGGATACGCATAACCGAGGAACACGGAGATGTATGCGTTGTTACAGGTGTGACAAGCTGGGCCACGTAGCAAGAAGCTGTCCGGGAAATGGGCAAGGGGAGTAAGCTACAGCGCCAGTCTTCTCCCCAGATCGCCGCTGAACAAGGCGCTACCCGCAGTGAGCGTGCGGATTAACGGGCGTGAGCGCTAAGCGCTTGTTGACACCGGGTGCATCCAGACCCTTGTGCGCAAGGCATTTTGTGACACGTGGGACGAGAAAAATATTCCAGTTCTGACTGTTGGCGGAGGCTCGCTAGCCTCTTGTGGAGTGAGTGTCATCCGCGTAAGCATCGGCGATGGGCCTGCAGTAGCTGTACAAGCCCTGGTCGTGGACGGAGGGCTGCTCGGCTACTATGATCTGCTCCTGGGAATGGACGTCATCAAAAAATTGGGTGGTGTCCATGTTGACGAAGAGGGGTCGGGCGCGTTTCACTGAAACAGGTCTTGCTCTAGGTGCAGCAATGGAACTGGAATGGCCTGACTTTCGTGCGGAGTTCGACCCGCGCACAAAGTCCTGGACGGTATCTTGGAAATGGTCAGACGATCAAGCGCCAGAGAAGCTGTACAACAGTGTGCCGGAGTATAAAATCCCCCCCACGAGCTCGTGCGGAGTACGACAAGGAGTTGCGAGCCTGGATTAATAACGGATGGTTGGTTCCTTATCCAGAGAAGGAATTGGGGCCCCCGAAGGGCCTGATCCCGCTAATGGCGGTTCTCCAGCACAACAAACAAAAGGTGAGGCCGGTGCTCGACTATCGGGAACTGAACGAGCACGTGGACCCTTTTACAGCCCGCGCGGACGTGTGTACCGAGAAGCTAAGGGAATGGCGACAAGCAGGATCAAATGTATCTGTGCTGGATCTTCGCAAGGCATACCTTCAAGTGCGTGTGCACCAATCACTGTGGCCCTATCAAACTGTGCTTATCAAGGGGCAAAGGTATTGCCTGACCCGCATGGGGTTTGGACTCAATGTGGCGCCATCGATTATGCAGATGATTGTTGACTCCATTCTGATGAAGGATGAGCGCATACAGCGGGCAACATCTGCATATATTGATGACGTGTATGTGAACGAAGGAGTCATATCTGCGGCGCGTGTGAAGGAGCATCTCTACAACTTTGGCCTCCTCAGCAAGGAACCGGAGAGGCTACAGGATGGTGCACGGATGCTTGGTTTGAAGGTCTGGGGAGAAGATGACGTTCTGTATTGGAAACGGGGAAACGAACTCCCAGACATGCCCCCCGTTGTCACGCGGCGAAGCATATTTTCCTTGTGCGGCAAGTTAGTTGGGCACCTTCCTGTAGGTGGCTGGATGCGTGTTGCGGTGGCGTTTATCAAGCGGAGAGCATCTGACGTCACCACTGGATGGGATGACGAAGTTCACAACGCCCCTCAACACCATGATGAGGAGGTCCTCGCTAGAGTACGCAAGGAAGACCCAGCGCGGGGCAGATGGTGCGTTGACAGCCAAGACCTCGGTGTGTGGGTTGACGCAAGCTCTCTTGCAACCGGCGTATCGATAGTTCATGATGGAGCCGTGGTGGAAGATGCTTGCTGGTTACGTCCAGAAAGGGACTCCCAGCACATAAACCTAGCGGAGCTCGATGCTGTCATCAAGGGGATCAACTTGGCGATCCTCTGGAAGTCGACCACCCTGCGTCTGTTCACCGATTCCGCTTGCGTTTATAAGTGGATCTCTGATACCCTGACCGGGAGGGCCAGGGTGCGGACTAAAGCCACCAGCGAGATGCTTATCCGACGACGGCTCGACACGATCGTGAAGCTAGTGCAAGAGTACGCACTGACAATGGAAGTGTCCCTGGTCAAATCTAGCCTCAACAAAGCAGATTGTTTAACGAGGGTGCCCCAAAGGTGGCTTGACGCCGCTAAGAAAGCTATTGAGCCCGTGCAACCCGCCTGCGCTGCGTCCGTGAGTCCCGTTCGATTTAATCGAATCAAAGAAGTCCACCAACAAAGCGGGCACCCTGGAGTCAAGCGGACACTGTATTTCGCCAAGTTGGTTGACCCAGGAGTACAAAAAGACAGACGTCAGGAGAGTGGTCAGAAGCTGCGTGGCGTGCCAGTCTATAGACCCAGCACCCGTTCGCTGGAAGAAAGGGCAGCTGAGCGTGAGGAGCCACTGGAGCCGACTGGTGATAGATGTTACTCACCACAACGGCGAGGATTTCCTGACACTAATTGATTGCGGTCCATCCAGGTTTGCGATATGGCGGCTGCTGCGTCGGCAAGATGCAGCCACTATCATTCGTCAGTTAAACAGTATCTTCCTTGAACGTGGCCCCCCAACGGAGATATTAACTGACAATGGCACCGCATTCACCAGCGAGCAATTCAGGAGGTTTGCGGATGGCTGGGGAGTGCACCCACGGTTCCGTTGCGCCCACGTACCGAGTGGAAATGGAATCATCGAAAGGGAACCACAGGACCGTCAAAGACCATCGCAGCCAGGATGGGCTGCGCGGTGTCTGAGGCGGTCTACTTATACAACGTGACCCCGAAGGATGATGTCTCACCCTCTACGGTGCCAGCAGACACATTGCATAGGTACCACATCAGAGTGAAGGGCATAGAGACCAACACGCTGACGGAACTGAAAGTAACCGGAGAGAGGCTGAAGAAAGGCGATATCGTCTGGATTAAAAACCCGCACAGCAAGTGCACAACGAAATACGGAACCGGACGCGTCACTGAGGTGATCAGCCCACAGGCGGTACGGGTCGACAGTGTGCCCCGTCACGTTAAGGACCTGCTTCCGGCGACGCAGTTGCAACCACCGCTGGACGATGAGAGCGAATTGGAATCTGACCAGTGAGGCATCACTCTGGTTCACGCCAGCTCCATCAGGCAGTGACTCGGATATCAGTAGCCTTCCAAGGGACGCGGTGTTTTTCGACCCTCAGACCTCGGACAGGAGCACAAGCAACGATGAGGCTCGCAGCGTCCCTCTTCGAAGAAGTACCCGGTGAAAGCGATCGCCGCCTCCCTGTCAACTCTGTGATCATGAGATCAGGGGGGAGTGTGGGGAAAATAGAAATGGTTTACCTCACAAACGCCCTCGCGTCTGCCTGGCCTGTGGGTTGAGAAAGGAAAGAAAAGATCCAAGATGGCGTCCCTTGACTTTTAATATTCACGGTCTCGTGCAGTCACGCAAAGTCGCGTTACACACATGCTAATGAGGTGTGTCTGGGCTCCATAAAAGCAGGTTGCTTGGAGAAATTGGCAGAACGGCATTACACCCGTGTTTGGTGTACACGGCTTTGCGTTGCAGCGTGTCAGACATTTTCAGATGGAAAGAGTTGCGTCCCTTACACTGTTGAAGTCGACTCATTTGCTACACTTCAGTAAACCTCTACCTTGACTGGCCCTTGGAGCTTGTGTAAGGTGAACATTAGTAAAAAAAAAAAATCTCCTCATTGCAATACACAATGTTAAAAAAAAATTTTGTTGAATGGTAGGTACATCCTGTCCACTCATAAAAAATAGGAAAATCTTTTTTCTAATAATTTTTGTAGATTATCATTTTATTAACCTTCCTTGGGTAATGAAACTTGTTAGAATAAAAAAAAGTATTGATTTAGAAGTGGAGGTACTGTTCATAATAGCAATACAGTGTAAAATCAATCCCTGACTTTTACAGTGTGTGACTATTTGAAACTATCAAATTTGAAACTGTGCTTTCGTTATTGATATTGGCAGGAGATTTTTTTTCTATTTTAAGAAAAAGATTTTTATGAAATAAGCAGATATATGCATTTGCACACTACAGTTTAAAAATTTGAGACAACTGCTGATAACTTTTTAAATTGGTCCAAAAAGTAGTTGTTTTGTATTTTAAATAAGAGAAAATTATTATACATGGTTAAAAAACAGTGAGATGTGATTTTTTATTAGAAATTTTATAATGATAAAAAGAAAAAAGCATTTTATGATTAAATTTTGCTCTTGTCAAAATATCATCTTTTAACCTTGATTACTGCAGCAAAAGTTTTTGGCATTCATTGCAAAAATTTCTCAAAGTATAAGTTTGGTAATTGATTCCATTCTTTTTTTAATGACGTTAAGAGCTCTTTTTCCTTTTTTTTGTTTTTCACTCTTCTGTCAAGTTCATCACATGCTGATTCTAGGGGTAGCTTCAAACTTTTGAACTGTAGTGTATATACTTCTTACAATTTTTAAATATTTTTTAATTGTAATTAAAAAACAAATGCGCATTAATATTTGGATAATTTTCTATGGCGGCACTCTTACAAACAAATATGCACAACAGATTCATAAAATCGAAAGAAAATGGTTGAATACATCAACACAGATATAATGACAATATTCTCCACACGTGACAATCTCTGACGTTATTTTTCATTTAAAAAATATGAAAATAGCGTTTCTCTACATTCCAGATGCTAGGTACATTCTGTTTTTGTTTTTATTAGTTACGTTGTTCATTTAATTTCATTTTCGTATTTTGCTTTGATAAAGTCCACATTGGACGAAACGCGTCAGCAATTACCAGTTTTCCTATTGTCATTTTTATTCATAAATATTGTCTTCTCTACCGATTAAATCGGAGAAATTTTCATATATATATATATTTATTGCACACATAGAAACTAAGAAAAAAGTACTTAACTGTTATGTGGTATCTGTCCTCCTGTATGGCAGCAAATGCTGGACAATCTCCTCAAAGATGAAGAGACTTGAAACTGTTGAAATGTGATTCTATAGAAAGATGATGAGGATACAATGGACCAAACATGTGAGCAACCACACGGTTTTGGAGAAAATGGAAACAGAACAGAAACTTATACCTAACATCAGGAAGAACCAATAGAAATTCCTGGGGCACATAATGAGGAAGGAGGGCTTGGAAAATCTGATAATCACAGGACAGATTGAAGGCAAGAGAGACAGAGGGAAGCAGTATATAACATACTTGATGAGCATGAGCAAATGGATAGCAGAACAGGGTTTGGTAGAAATAACAAAAAGACAAAACATTAATGGCTACAAGAGGCAGGAAAATGTGGAGGGCCATAATCGCCTACTTAATCATAAATTTATGGGATTTCAGAAACAACCCCACCAAGCTATTTTTTCCCAATAATATTCACATTAAGCTTGTAGTGATCTAGGAAGCATCCTCTTGGGAGTCAGTTCTACAAATGTAGTGGCTCATGAGAAGAAACTGTTTGAGTGGAACTTACATCTCACCAATGGAATACAAAAGGAATGAGGGTGGTCCACTAGAATGGGCGTGGCATGGCTGGCCTTGGCTGTGGAGGTTAGACTGATGGAACTAAGAAATGTACTTCATCTGAAAACTTTCCATGGAAACGGCGATAGGGCATAAAGTTTTGTCTGTGGGGGAAAAAGGGTGTAGGGTGGAAAATAATTAATCACCCACAAGGCCACATACATGCCCTTCAAGTCTGTCAAGACTGGAAACTAAAGACTGCAAATGTTTTAAAAAGTTTGATAAAAAAATTTTTTTAAAGATTCTGAAAATAATAAAAAGAACAAAAAACATCTATACAGATATGAATTTTTTTTTTTTTTTTTTTTAAATAAAGGGACTTTTAAAACAAACAGTTAATTTCTAACAACTCTGTCAAATTGATCCTTGACTTTTACAATGTGTCATTATTATGTACATGACCCTCCTAGATCGATGACTAATTAACATTTTTCAAGTCAGAGAAGTGCTGTAGCCTAAAGTAGATCTAAAGTTTGCTAATCAAAAAAGAATATTTTAAAAAAATAAAAAGAAATTTTCTCTACTTTTTATCAATGGACCACTTTATTTAAGTAGTGCCAGATATTATATTCAATATTAGTGAAACTTTATCCATGTTTGTCTCAGTTCAAAACAAGTAACTTTTGTGGAATTCATTTCACATTTATTTGCATGGGGAGGGGTATGCTTTATATACCATCAAATTTTTTTTTCCTTTCCCCACTCTGTTTTCATTAATGAAGAATCTATATATAAAATTCTGTGACTTCTATTAGTCCATCTATCACACCCTTTAAAATAGCCATACATTGACCAATTAAAACCAAATTTTGGGGAGAAGTGCAAATAGGTAAGGGGATACAAAGTATAGCTGGTTTTACTGGTGTACATAGCTTAGTACAATAAATTTTCATTATTTTTTTTTTTAAATTAAGTGTTATTAATTAACATACAAAATACTGCCACTATTTTAAAAATATTAATAAAAATGCAATATTGTTTTTTGCAAATCTTTTCTTAAACTTTTTAGATAAACTAGAATCTTTTTTGCAACATGCAGACACTTGTTAAAATCCTCACAGTATTTAGTATTGTTGAAGTTATATCTAATATTGTGCTAGCCCCACTTTACTTTGGGACTGACATGATTAAAAAGAATACTTTATCAATACAATAAAGATATTTATTTACATGAAATACAATGGCTAAAACATAAACACTATGTCCTTTCCTATATAAAGAGAATATGTCAGATGGATTTACCCATCTGGTGAGTGAACTAGGGCTAGGTAGCTTGTACCCTTAAAACCCTTGGCAACTGGTACCATTAGCGGCAGAGAGAATTTCTTCTGTGTTACCTCAGAGTAGGTCTGTTACCTTTTCTAAATACTGTGAGGATTCTAATAATCTAAAATTTTGTTTTTTATTTATTTATTTAATAAGCAAATTATTTATTTGATGAAGAATGATTTTTTTTTTTATGTTCAACTTTTGCAGTTACTTCAGAAATTCAAGTCAATGCACAATAATTCTTTGAATAACATTGACATATTCACTGGAGCAATGATGGAAACAACAGAAACTGGGCCAGGAGAATTCATTAAGAAACTTACAAAAGATCAATTCCTGAGAATACGAGATGGTGATCGATTTTGGTTTGAAAATGTGCTTAATGGGTGAGAAAATAAAAGAAATATTTCCTTTATTTTTGTTTCCATCATAATTCCTTCTTCTTTTTTCTTTCTTTTTTTTTTTTTTTTCTCTTTTTCTTTTCTTTTATTTCTTCTTTTTTCTGTTTTTCTGTTTTTCTGTTTTTCTGTTTTTCTTTTTTTTTTTTTTGTTTTTCTTTTCTTTTTTTCTGTTTTTCTTTTCTTTTTTCTATTTTTCCTTTTTTCCGTTTTTCTGATTTTCTGTTTTTTGTTTTTCTCCTGTTTTTCTTTTCTTCTGTTTTTCTTCTGTTTTTCTTCTTTTTTTCTTTTTTTTTTTTCTTACTTTTTTTCTTTTTTTCTTCTTTTTTTTTCTTCTTTTTTTTTTTTTTAAATTTTCTCCCGACATAAGTAGCAATTGCTTTGCTAAACTATCAATGCTTATTGTCCCATTTGTGGGATATTAGACATTAATGCCTTATAGATAGTAACCTATAATTAATACTGAATTTTAATTTTTATTACATATACACTCCCCTCTATCTCACAATTATGGTGATACTCAAGGGAGAATAGTGTAATGGCTTGCCAGTTCCTTTGCACCATGGCTGTTACCTTGTCCCTCCTCTTAGAGGTGGATTTGTTTTTGAAGTTACCTTCTTCTAACCTAAAGAGACAGGACCTACAAGGTAGCATGCTGGTGTGAATTTGTTTCCTTTTAGACTGGCTGCCACCCAAGGCTATAGAACCCAGTCTGTCTTGCTATTTTACTCATAGTTAGTGATGGAGAAGAAATGAATTCATACCTTTCCCAAGAGTATTAACACATAAATGAATGTAATGAAATTCAACTGTAATTCACATCTGGCTCTCTGATCCCTCAATCCAAACTGCTAACCATTTATCTACAATGCCTCCTTTATAATTTAAAAGAAAAAATAATGCCTAAATTTAATACTGGACTTTATCAAAATTAATTTTTGAAAAATTAAATTTACTGGAATTTAAAAAAAAAATAATTGATGACAAATTATAATTTTCACAATTAATAGCATATTTATAATGGTCGTCAATGGATTAAATGAAATTGGTTTAAAAAAAAAACGTTGAATATTTTGAAATTCTGCCTCACAGACAATGCATTGATGTTTCACATAAACAGGAGACAGCTAACAAACTACAGCCGCAAAATCACTTTCATATACGAGATAAAAATATTTTTATAATTAATACTGTATTTTACACTGTGCATTGATTTTAACTTCATTTTTATAAAATCCAAAAGAGGTGTTACCAAAGTTTGAATTTTTTGACTTGTTCTTGATGGTGGTTATGAGTTTTTCCAATTGACCAGTTTCATGTCTTACTGTGTCTTGCACAAGTCATTTGTGATGTCTGTAACTTGTATTTTTTTAATCATTTGACTCTAAGCAAGGCAATAAAGCCACTAAGATGCAAGAGGGTTAATGAGTGAAAGAATACAAGAAAAAAGCAACAACAATTTCAACTGTAAAATAATGAGACCTAACTGCCAATCTACTACTTCATTTACATTTATAATGTCAAGCAACCAAATAGGAAAGTGTCCTGGGTAAGACAATAAACAACATCCAACAGCAAGGACTCTGATCAGGAGTTTTTGAGGAGCATGGAACCACCTCTTAATTGCTGTTATTCCCAGGTCCACCTGACTTGGGGTGGTAGCATCTTTTAGGGTCCCAGCTATGGGTAAATAGTGAACCTCCCCAAACAAAATATTATGAAAGTATAAAAATACCAGCAATACATATTTCTTAAACTAATCTAGTCTTGGATATGATGATAAACTAACCCTAACCCTGCCTCTGATCGGGAGAGTGGAGATTTTGAGAAGCATGGAACCACCTCTTAATTGCTGGTGTTCCCAGTCCACCCTGACCCGGGTTGGTAGCACCTGTTAGGGTCTCGGCTATGGATAAATAGTTAACCCCCAAACTGGGCTCAAAATGATATGAAAGTGTAAAAATAGATTTTAATACCAGAAATACTTTGTAAAACAAAAATTATTACCAGCAATAAAAATCTTGTTGGCATTAAATAATCCATTGCGGTTGATATGCCGTAAAACAAACCAAACCAAAATAGGAAAGCTCATAAGAACAATTATCATGAAAATATTTATAAAACTTTTGTGCATATTTCCACTAATATAAGGAAAGTACTCATAAAATTATACATATACTTTACATTACTTGTTTTGTTTTTTTATTTTTTTTTTATTTAAAATTGGGTGGGGCAGATTCTTGGAGCCCTTATCATAAAACCAGGAAAACCAAAAATCATCTTCATTTCTGTATTTTTTTTTTCATCCCAAACAAGTCAATAAAGCCACTATGATGCAAGGGATTACTAGTGAAAGGAAATGAAAAAAAGATGTTAGCAAAGAGAAAAGACAATAAAAAAACTGGTTTCAGGAAGACAGAAGATGGTGATTGACATTGCATTTAAATTTTTGAAGATCATAGTTGACAGGGAAGCAAGAAACTGGAATAGAGTTCCACAGGGAAGAAGTACAAGAGAAGAAGCTATTAGAATAGAACTTATGGTAACATCGAGAAATATCAATTGTAAAATCATGAGACCTAGCTGCTAATATCGTTCTGCACTTAAATTCATAGTCTGGGTACCAAAGATAAAAGCTCCTCCAAACAATGAAAATATTTATAGAAAAAGTACAGGAAGCTATGTTATAGTGATGGGAAATTTATTGAGGCTGAGATGCCAGGTCAGGGCTGATAACATTGCAGATTCTTTGAATTTTGTAACTAATATATACATTTAACCTTGTAAAGAATTTTGTTTGTTGTCACTTGTGTTGCATCATAATAATGCATTAATAGTGTTAGTATCATTAGCGTAGCCATTGATACACTAACATTGAATGCAAATATAGAAAGACAAGATACACACCTGTAACAAACAAAACATTTGATAAGGCAAACAACTTACATACACATATTAAAAGGATTTACCCATGTCCCAAAACAAATGATTGTTCATACTGTCCAAGGGATAAGAATGTTTACAGAATGTGAACAAGGAAATAACATACCAGCTTTTATAAGCCTTTGACTGTCTGTAGCTAAGTGAATAGAAATTATCTTTTTTTTCTTTCACATTAGTCTGTGCACATGTTGACCAGTTTCCACATGTGTGGACGCCTGGTGGTCAGGAAGGTAAAGACCGTTCATCCCCCAAAAAAAAACAGAAGCCAAAAAAAGAAAAAAGGGACAGAAGATTCCTCCTCTCTAAAGGGGCTGAACTCCCATGAGCTCAACGCAAGGGAAAACAACTGTGGTCTCCCTACAATGCCAAACACTGAGTTCAAAAATATTGAAAAAAAATTTTTCAAAATAACAAAAATAACGACCATAGTTTTCCCTGATCTTGAAAATGTTCTGATGAACAGAACAAAGTTAATATCCACAAATTCATTCAGACCAGTTTTCTTATCTTGATTGTTATCACATTACAGCTGTTGTATTCTTAGGCTTTCTTCAGGTATTTGTCACAGTTGGTAACCTTCCAAGAATTTTTAACCAAATACTTTAATAAACGGGAGTAAATTATTCTTATTCTGCTACCCATTCTAGACAAAATCTGGTACAATCTTAGTTAATTCTTCTTTATTAGTACATCCTTATGACATCATTTGCCTCTTTCCCTGAACAAGAGCATATGACCCATTTTTGCAGTACTCCACTCATAATTTGACTTCACAACTGCCAGGTAAATCAATTCTTTTAATTAATCCTTTTATCCACTAAGTTACTCATCTTATACGTTTGGTTTGAAATTCATGGAAGTTTATCAAGTAGGACTAAAACCCAAAGAAAAGTCAACTTGTTTGTGGTCATTAATTAGATTGGTATTAATGTAGGTACCACCCAAAAAAATAAAATAAAATAAAAAATAAAAAAAATACCTAATGTTTGAAATGATTTTTTAAAAATAAAAGATCTTTCTTGAAGCTTCTATTTTAGTTTTAATTGCAAATAGATTAAATTTAATATTTCCAAAAACAAAATACTTAACTGCATTTCAGAAACTAATAACTAATTTAAATTGACTGAAGGAGTATTTTTTTTTTTTTGCTAAAATAGCTGATTAACTCCCCTTTTTTTTTTTTAGTCATCTTTTATTGATATGTAATTCTCTTAAAAAATCTTTCAAAAAATAAAAATATACTTTTCTGAAATTTTATTTGAGGAATATTAACTGATTTAAAGTATAATTAATCTGATTTGAAACAAATATTTAAGTTTAAAATGTCACAGAAATGCATTTTTTTTTAACCTGAGAGAAGCTGTTTATTTAAGTCATTTGTAGGTGCGACAGCTTGATGACAGATTGTTATTTATCTAATATTGTTCTATGGGAGCTTTAGGTGTTAAAAAGTAACTGAATTAATATAAGTGCCTTTTATATATAATTTTTTTTAAGTACTCAGTAATCTTTAAAATTTAAGAAAATATTCTCTGAAATCTAATGTTTCATTGAATTTTAAATATTTTTGGTTTTAAATTTATTGCTCTTATTTTCTGATAATGTTGTGCGTGGTCAATCATATATAGAAAATCATCATGTTTATACACATAAAAAAAAATCAAAATTTTTTAAAATATTGGTGTTTGATGATTTGTACTAAGCTTTTCAATTTATGATTTGTAAATGTAGTCTTCACTTAATATTATCTGAAAGTGACAAATTAAGATTTTAAAAGATTAAAAATATTTTTAAATTAATAATTTTTTCTAATTAAAATTTAAAAAAATGAAAACAATTCTTGTAAAAATTCATTACTCATTAAAACAATTTTTTTTTCTTAAGATAGTGATAATGTCCTTAATATATCTTATTTTTAAAACTAATTAAAACTTTTCTAATTAAATAATGTCTGAGTTTGATTACATTTTTTATTTTATGATTCAGTACAGATTTTCAGTAAATGAGTAAC